GGTTGATTGGAAAAGAACTAGGGCTTCAGTACAAGGGTATACTACTTAAGTAGGTATTTAGTATAAAGCCCGTGATAAACAAATCATATGTAAGAAACAACAATCACAAGTCAAAATGGTATACGCGCTTCTCCGCTGTCATAAGCGCTCATCCGCTGTTCAGCTGATTTCGTCATCGTTATTTGTCAGCTTCGCCACAGTGACTGACAACAAGGTGGGTTTCGTCACATTTCTTCGTGGGAACATCAATATTCACCAAAACCTTTCCGGTGCATCAATCGCAAAGCTTTGATATCAGTACTACCCGAACCTCCCACTTTACAAGAGGAGCCTGCTGCTCCTGCACCTGAGCCTGTGGCCGTCGTCTCGGCTCTTCCTACCCAAATTCAAAAGCAGGATGCGCCCACTCGATTCAAATCGCCTGTGTCTCTTTCTTCCCGCCCCGCGGTTCGTGGCAAGTACAAGGGCATCGATCAGGCTGTTGACATGCCTTCGTCGACTGGTTTCATGCCTGGACTCGACAAAGTAGGAATGCAGTTTGGAAGTTTGAGTCTTGGTGGAGATGTTATTGAGCCCACGCTGTGAGTTAAAATCTAAAACTGATATGAAGATAGTCAATTGATATGTTTCGGTTAGCATCGAACCTCCCGCAGCTGAACAGCAGCCATCGCCGCAGCAGGCCATGCAGCCCCTCTCACCTCCTGCGCTTCCCGCACCCGTTCAACAACAAGAACCTCAACAGAGCGTTCCTGCGCCTGTACCGTCTGTTGCTAGCTCTATTGCTACTTCTCCCTCGCAGCCAATGCTCCCTCCTTCAGTGCAGCCTGTTCTACTACCTTCACAGACAACGCAATTTGTACCTCCCCAACCGACAGCACCAATCCCGCAGGTACCTCAACATGCTCTTGCACCTTCAATGTCCCTTCCTACCCTTCCGCCATCGAGTACCAGCTTCACTCAGCAGCCTCCCTCACAAGCGCAGCACCAGCATCAGCACCAGTCGCAACACCAGCCACAGCCGCAGCACCAACCTCAACATCAACCTCAGCATCAACCCCAACATCAACCCCAGCAATTGCTGCAGCTTCAGCCGTATGCTGCACACTTGCACCTCGACAGCCCGCAAACGCAGTCTCAACAGTACAGCCCTGCCCAGCAGGTGCAGGCCCAGTCCGTGGCGTACTACATCCCGAACAGATGGGTCCGACAGGCCGACACGGACGAACAGACGAACGGAACTTTCGAGGAACCATGTTCCCTCGTATTAAACATGCCATCTGTTTTCTTGAAGTCGGGGTGCTCCCTTGCGACGGTGCTGAATTCGATGAGCTGGCGTTTGACCAGGGAACATGACTATACTAGTGTAATTTCTTGTACAGCTTTTTCACTTGCAATTAAATATATGTTCTTTTTTCGCTCTTTTTCAACTTGTAGCCTTTCTGGCGCTTATGTGTCACGCGCTTACTTTTCGTACTTGTGAAGTCCAGGGCCACAAGTGAATAAGTGTACATAAGTCAATTAAAGGTGGGAATAAGATTTAGAATTTTAAGCAAGCGAGCGCCGAGGAATGTGTGAATTTACTGATGTATGCCCTGGTCTGACCTTGCCTCATGCTCCTAAGCTGTGGACGGAGCTCCCCGCTCCAACGTATATGCCGGTGCATCTTTGTTGCCAACAAGGAGGACCTAACTTGCCCATGATTTTTCATGACAAGCTCTATCCATAATCACAGATATTGTACATGGGCCCTATATATACACTAGTATCATTTGTTATACAGTCAGAATCTCCACAGTCAATCCTTCTTTATGATGTTTGTTACGCGCTAGTGCCTCGAATTCATTTCGCTTCCGACGTCCCCCACAAACTCAAACGATCAGATTCGTCCGCAGGTGCATAGTCCACGACCACCGAGCGCTCTACGCGTACACGTATACCGAGTTCCATGTCGTTGGCTTGCCCATTGCGAGGCGATGAGGGCAAGAGCTCTGCGTCTTTGGAGTTTTTGGAGTGGCTCTTGGACTCGAACTGCGAGCGGAGACTGGACAACATTTTTTTCTGCGCACTGAGCGTGGGACGCGCCATAACGACGTTTTCCAAGTGTCGGACGTCTGGTTCTGTCATCTCTTTGAGAGTGCGAGGTGAACGGAGAGGGAGTAACGGAACGAATGAACATGGTGAGGGTCAGCGGAATAGAAGTCAAGCTCTGGAGCGGTGCACACCTCGTACATGGATGAGGATCCGTTGGCTCATGATCCATGTTACAGCATAGCCCATCGATGCCCTAATGATGCCTTCTGAGCAGTCTGATTCTTCTTGTCAAATACGAAACTTACCCTGCCGACTAATGATAGGTGTGAGCCAACATAATCGCGCTGAGTTTACATGGTGTATCCGTGACTTAGCCCACGTACCTGAGTCTGAAAATCGGTCGTATGATAAAGGACGAGGTTCAATACATTCGACGCTGAGGGAACGTTAGGAGGGTGCTCATCAAAAGCAGAGAGTACTTGCCAGACAACACAATGAAATATCCAACGCCATCATAGATCAGGCTAAGTGCGATGAGCGGTGCGCATGGACTCTGCCAGTGGTGAGGAACTTACACCCGTATCAGCCGTTCCACGCTAACATCGATAAATCAGTGACCGTAAACAACAGATGGGAGAAAAGACGCACCTGCTGCTTAGAGGATTATAACGGAGAAGATGCATGGTAGAAATTGTCACCATCACGATGTCATACAACATCGCAGCGAGGTAGAACAACCAGGTTGTTGAAAATATTTCGTCAGTATTTGCTGGGGTGCAACTATGTTTAACGACGATATCAGATGAGCAGCCCAACCTGGTGATAAAGGAATTGCTTACTTTCCCTATAAAAAAACGCTGTTCGGATGAGATCTCGGTACGAGGAACATTGACGTACATCAATAACAACAGCTGTTTCTAAAGGTCAATAAAACCCAAGATTAATAACATAAGCCAGTGCTCACGGGTCCGATCAAATATATCTGTGAACCACTCCACCTAAAACGTGTAAGAGAGGAAATATCATGTCTGTGTGGGAAGAGCACACCGAAACCAAGCAAAGATATAGCAGCAGTAGTGCAATTCCTATCCGCCTATCTCTCCTTGAAACATTCCATGTCCTACACGGTGTTCAAGTCTATGCAGCTCGTAAGCCACGAAAAATTGGCAGAACATACCTGACACCTAGGATGACCTGTGATACCATAGCTTGAACGACTACGGTCTAGTCAATACAGTCCTAGTGGGTGAACGTCAATCGGACAGACCTTTGAAAATAGGCGCAACAAGATAATATCGTTGACACGCTTCTTGAGTGAAGTTGGCGGAAAAGTATCCGTAATTACTGACTACTATAGTCACGATACTAAGATAGCTGCATTAAACGTGAGCAAACAAAAAATCACATAAAGGAATGAGAACAAAACGTACCGTATGAGGATGAATAACGCGCAGGCAAGACTGGTATAAATATCGAGCTTGTCAACAGTGGTGTGTGGATGATCGTGTACACACACCTTATATGAAAAATCGACGATTGGCTTCGGTAAAAGCGCCATTCTGCGGGGAGTGTGAGAATATAACTGAACCCGATCAGTCAGAACAACTCCAGGGTTGCAAGAGGGAAAGAAAAGGGCTTACTCGTATAATGCGATGGAGATGGATGCTACTCGCAAATACTTCTCCGAGGTTGTGCTGTCTAGAACCAAATTTCGTTGCATTTAATATAGATGAAAGTCGCGTTGATTCGGGTACGGTAGCTCTGCGCCAGACAGATTCGTTCTTGATAGATCAGTGAGATGGGGGATGCAAAAGAATTGAAATGTACCAATTTGGCTGCGTCCAAGTTATAACCCGGATGCTTCGTTTTCGACAGAGAAAGGAAGCAAGACTGAGGAATAGAGGAAGCAAGGCATTGCTTTTCTACCAAAACCACACTTTGAAATTGATTAAACATGCCCGAGTAGGCAATAGAAACGAGGCGTGTCTTTCCAGAGTCTAGACTTGTCCGAGGCTCGGTCGAATTCAGAGTCAGTAAGACTTTCGTGCGGGCCAAGGCAAGCCAGCAGGGCATGTTTTAGTTTTTTACGGTCCAAGACTCCAAACCGCTTTGCTGATGTAAGCAGGTACGGGGATTATGAAATTCGCTCATCCAGCAGATTCCAGCTGCGGGCTACCCCAATTCCCGGAGGTCTTGAGAGGCCTTGCGGGGAAGGCTTCTAGCAAAAAGATGATGGCATCCGCTTAGACACAGGTGGTGGGTGAGATGCAGGGATGTGTGAGTTCGAACTTCGCGCAGTGACTAGGCTCTGCAGAGCGGAGATCAATGAACAATATGTAGGTGATCACATACAGGCTAACTCATACACGATGGTATCCGCCTCGACGAGCAGACCGTCGATATCATACTTCTCTGGACTGTTCTCCTACCGCCGCCGCCATCTACATGAAGAATCAAAGTTATCCAGCAATCCTGTCTCATTTAGAGGGACGGGAGGGCACAATAGGAAGGGGCTTCGTGAAAGAAATTCAATATAAGAAATTCAATATGATTGATCCTTCATGAGGGATATTCAGCTCATTAAAAAGCGCACATTTCTGGAGTCACCTCTAGAGAAGGAGGCCAAACTATGAGACACAAGGCAATACAACCGAGTAGCCTACTTGAAGCACACTGGACGCGAAAAGACGAAGTTCTGTGCTGTGTTCAAACCATATAGATTAGCATGTAGAGGTATTGTTTTTGGTGCGGACATGGACAGGAAGACGATGTCTGACAGTAAGTAAAGAGCAGGTTACCCGTGTGAAAGTTTAACTCCGCTCTAGTCGCCGAGCTTGCCGAATTCAAGGGCCCATTCTTCGTCCTCAAAAACTACAACAACCCCCAATAGATATCTCCAACGCGATGCGTTAGTCTGTTGCACCGAGTCGCATTTAAATCACACATGTCGCACCGCTAGCTTCACAAGCTAGCAGCAATGTCACGTTTACAGGAGAGAAGGTTCGTTTGAGGCTAAGGATTCATGGAAGGCGACACTGATAGTCTCCCGTAGGCAGACCACTAGAAGGAAAACACTCGTTGCTTTCATACAGTGGTGAGGTCAATGAGGAACTGAAACCATTCGACCAGTCTCATGCATGTGATACACCTAATTAATCTCCTAAACTTGACTTTTTCCCTCCCACTCGCCGACAAAGTTTCAGCTTTGAATAATACCAGTACAGGTATCACTTATCTCGTCACCTCGACTCCGCCTACCAGACCCTCCATCAGATACAGAACAACTCCACGTGTGGCACGCCCTGCCCATATCATTAGTTTCCCTAGCCAACGCCAGAAGAAAACATCTTCTCGGATCTCAAGGACGTGAGGTATCATCAAATTCGAGCGTTTTGGGAGCTTATCTGATCTGAAGTGCCTGAGGTGACATCAAATTCGGGTTATTGTGGATATCGCCTGCCTTATCAGTGATTGTCATGCGTATTGGCACCAGATACTTATCACAGTGCCAGGCCCATTGGTAGTTTCCGTACCGACGCTATTGCTGGCTTGACAAACAGTCTCGCAAGAGTCGTGTCAAATATGAGTGTGTCGTCTTGAGCAACGGTGAGCATTTGGAAATCTGAAAATAGCAAGCTCCCCAGTAGGTGGAGGCATAGAGTTCTCGTGAGCAGCTCTGGGGAGCAATTTCTTCCTCAGCGCAATGGGCGTACCTTGGCATACACAGAAGTCGGAAATCTATACAGCAAGACCGTCGCTCTTCATGTCCATGGTTTATTAACTGTCGGGGGTGCATTACTGAAGATGTCTCCTGTGCTTCTGAGCAAGGATATTCATCTCTTTTCGCCCACCCACAAGAATGCGCGAATCAAAGACATTGATGGAGGGAGCATGTGAGTATGTTTTACTACATGGACGAGATATGGGCAGAATTTTTGGCTGGCGAGCAATTGTTAATAACTTATGTCTTAATTGTTTTACAATGGTGTTCACGAGACGTCTCCAGGAGTTTCTTTCAGAGGGACAACTGCAGCAATCAGTATAACGCGAATATCTATACACTTAGCTGAAGTCAACGAAGCGACGGCAGGCAAGACATATTGGTATCAACGACAGAGGTAAGGCATCACACTGCAGGGTACGATGAGCGCTGACCTCAAGCTATCCACCAGCTCCAGCCTGACCACTCTCCAAATACTCTTCCTCACTTCTACGAGGCCGCCTATTTGGCGCCCGAATCGCCTAAGACTTCATGCCTTCGTTTTTGTACTCGCACGAGAGCCACGACCATCCGGTGGACTGGCACCCGTACTTAATCTCCCCTACTGAGACCTTATCGAAGGAAGAAAGTCATATTAGGGGGACGAGTGTACTGCCGGTGGTCTTTGTTGCAGAACTAGCCTAGGTGCAGGCCGGCGTCGACAGCGGATCTGGCTTCAGAGTGCGCGGAAACTCAGGAAAATATATCTGAGCTCAATTTCACCATACAAAAGTTGTCACAAATCCTATCTTCTCCATGACCGGATTCGATAAACTCCACAATTTCATGCCATCAGCACTCCATTACGCCCCCCTGCACACATCACGCTCATTATTCCATGCGCTGGGGAAAACAGGCGCATCAGCACTCGGACTCGTGAGACAACGAAAATGACAGGCTTACTCAGGCACTGCGCAGTCGAGCGAGCCTCGAGGCTCAGCGCTCATGAACATTTGAACATCGTCCCGCTGGTGATGTGACATTTAGTTCCGTTCAAGCATGCCGTATACTTGTAGATTTTGTTATTGAGGCAGTAAAACCCGAAATCGTTGCCGTCGTTGAATCCTCTCATGTTTGAGCATCCCACTGCATCAAAAAGCCATAAGTATGTGGTCCAAGTCTGCACGTAGGCCACAAGAGTACTCACCAGTTGTGTGGCAGGGAAAGTTCAAGGGTGTCACCGCCAGATCCTCGGATGCGATGGCTACGCCAGCCATCATAGCGGCAGAGATGATAGTGGTGAGTGAAGTGAATTTCATGGTTGAAACTTGATTGTGTTGTCTGAATCACAAAATAGGATGCTGGCTTTTATACACAGGAAATGTATAGGGGGCAGCCAGACAATCTGGATGTACTTGCATCACGAAACAGATGCCACGCTCCGTGACATAATTGTCTGAATGCCTCAAATAATGTTCCGGACACACTCCGCGAGTCCTTCTGGTACGTTGGTGAACTTCGATCTATGGTGGTGATTTATTCACCCAATTTTCACGTTTCCAGGGATACGCAGACGCACTCACTGACCTGGCAGATGCGTATAACAACTCAATAGGCCTGCCCCTATGCCCGCAGCCCGCATGACCTCACCACGGCGTTGTGGAATACGCAGAACGTGGTTCCTATATCGCGACATATCAACACCTGTACATTGAACAACGTCAATATAATATTCTAAAACAAGACCGGTAGTAGAGAATTACCTTCAGCAGCAGGATTGGGAGAGCGCTTGTCAGCATCTATGTTACCAAACGGGTGAATGCACATAATAAGTGCAGCGCTAAACGATTACATTCGACATCAGGAGAACGCCCAGTAAGCAAACCTAAGCCACGACACAACAGACAAGGTGCGGAGGTAGACGAGAACTGCGGTTCTTGACAGCGACAGCGCGCTTGTTGACTAATGACGACTATGTTGTCGTTGAACCAGGTTTGAGCGCATTCATCAGCCTTGCAAGCTTGGACTTCGAGCCAAAGTTGCATTTTGCTGCAAAGGCAACAGTCGAAGATTTTGAAAGGCACGGAGATTGCTCAAGAGTCAAATTTGACGGTACAAAGGCTCGAGGAGAAAAATTGAACGCAAGCCTGTTCAGATTACGATAGATAGATTCAGAGTCACGCGGTATGATGTTACATAATTGTAGCACAAGCAAATATGAAAAATGTGAAACTTCACACGAGTGACTCGTCGGCGAGTCTAAGCGCTAGAATTGCTTAGCTAGCGCGTTGCAGCCAACCATGTTTCTCCTTCGCTTTCACTATCTATATCATGGTCTCTGCTTGCTCATTTCACGAGACCGTCGGACCAGAACAAAAGGTTTTGGACGATGAAAGAATTCATGCTGGTGCCGCTTCACACTGACTCGGACGATACTACTGCAGTGATATTCCAATATCCAGGTTTCATTTTTGTGGATGCAAAGCAGGTATTTATTTCAGGTTCAATAAACTCCAGAATTTCATGTCATATTATTGACAGAACTCCTTCACGCCCTCTCCACGTATCATGCCCCTCGTTCCATGCGCTGGCGAAAACAGACACATCAGCACTCAGATTCTGTTGAAAGTGAAAGGACAGGCTCACTCAGACACTGGAGTTGACAAAGCCTCCGGGCTCAGCGCTCATCATGTGCATGCGAACGTAGATGAACTGGTGACATGACAGCTATTTTTGCCCGCGCACTTCGTATACCCCACGATTCTGTTATTGACACACCAATACCCGAAATCGTTTCCGTTATTGAAACCTTTGAGGCCCGTCGAGCACCCCACTTTATTGGTGGATAGCCATAAGTAAGTTATCTATTGTCTGCACGTAGGCCGCAAAAGTGCTCACCAGCTCCTCTGCAGGGTAGACCCGCAGGTGTTAGAGTCAGATCCTCAGATGCGGCGACTACTCCAGCCATCGCTGCGACAGAGAGGATTACAGTGGTGAGTGAAGCGAATTTCATGGCTGACTCGGAAAGTTAATTGTGTTGTCTGAATGAAAAACTAGTGCTTTTATACACAGATAGTGCATCGGGGGCATCTGGATGTGCTTGCATCACGAAAGAGATGCCACACTCCGTGACATAATCTTCTTGAAGGCCTCAAATAATGTGCCGGATGCACTCGACGAGTTCTTCTGGTACGTCTTGGTGAACTTCGATCTATGATGATGATTTATTCACCCAACGTCCACATTTTCAGGGATGCGGCAGATGCGCTCACTGACCAGATGCATAAAAAATTAAAAGGTTTGCTCCTATGCCCGCCGCCCGCATGACCTCATCAACTACTGGAGCACACTGGTAGCCAGGCCAACGGTTGGGGGTAAACTGCAGCGGCGAACGTTACATGGATGTTACCAATGTCAGTTGTGGCACCGCAAAGACAACCTGCCATTGCCACGACATCCGAGGCACTTCCCGGGGTGGCCACCAACGCATTGGAAACTGGAACGACCTTGCGACGTGATATCACTGTAAGACGGGTCAGATGCTGGACTCATTTCTTACTCTGGATTGGTTGCACGTCTGTCGAGTGCACAGACGATCAAACTACGCAGTTCTGTTCTTGATTGACATTTTCTTTTGTTTCATCTAACCCTCGGTCTCATGCGCTCCATCGGCGTACTGCCTTTCCTGCTTCTTTCACTACCGATTCCTTTTTGACAAAGTCTTGTTTATTACACTATATAGGCAGGCGTGAGGGGTAGTAGATAAGGGAAGTTCTAGACGTAAAGCCACAAGTGGCGGCTTAACCCGTTCGTGATGACCTGGCTGTATGACTGGTATCTGCTCGTTAGAAACACGTCCCAGTCGTGGCCGCCAATGATGAGCAACATTGAAAAAGACACAAAACAAATGGTGTCGACGACAACGGTAGTGTTCAAGCTAATAAGGAGAAAACAAAAGAAACGTCTACAATCGCGAACAACGTGTAACAGCAGAATATACTGGGCGTGGCTATTTTGACGCGGCACCAACGAACCTTGACGCGTCAATGCAGGCGTTCCTATATGTTCTGCAAGTCAAGTTGGACGGGGTTCATGCACATGTTGCATCACTCAGTGTGGGAGAGCGCCAAAAGAACGACCCAGCACAACCGCCGTTTGTTCCCCTCGATTCGCAGTTTTAGCAGCTTTAGTGGCTGTTCAAACTGTTCTCCACATAGTTTGAATCGCCTGTGAGGGCATACACTCCATCGCCTCTCAAGGCACCGCTGACGGGCCACATAGCGAGGAAGTTGAGGAGGGCACGCGGAGTTTGTTGGATCGGACTGTGAAAGGAATGAAACGGCGTTGGAGCTTGGGTCCGTTTGGGGAGGGATGAACGTGAGCGTGAGGCTGGGCACGGTGAGGATGAAGATGACAGAGTGGGTGCTGAGCAGTTGAAGACAACGCAGAAGAAGAAATCAATCAGGAACAACAAACAGGGGAGAATGAAGAAAACAGCGATGAAGAAAACGGCCATACATCCGTGCTTCGAGAACCCAAGTCATCCTCTCGCCCTGAACTCGAGATGGGTGACCCACATGCCTGCACCTCTATCTCTGACGCGTATTGCGCTTGCGCTCGACCTCGAGCTGGAGAGAACGCCTCTGCCCCAGCTCAAGCGACCCACCTCCCGTGCGCAGCACAAGACTACAGCATCATTTACAAGACACCCTCTCTCGCGCCACTCAAACATATCTTCCCCCTGTCGGCGCCAAGCACGCCAGCGGTGATGAGTATGGGTTCGCTGTTCCTGGCCAGGGTGTGGGGATGTGAGAGGACGTGTTGGCGGGCGTTGGGGAAATGATGGTTACACCACAATGGTACCGTGCGAATGTGCAAGTTGGTGAACTTCGATCTATGGTGAATGTATTCACCCAATTTTCACGTTTCCAGGGATGCGGCAGACACTCACCGACCACATGCATATGAAACTCAATTTGCCTGTCCTATGACTGTAGCCCACATGACCTCGTCACCCACTATAGCATACTCAGGCTAATAGCCAGAGGCCAGTGGTCGTGGGGTTAAATTGTAACGGCGAACGTTTTCGGAGGACGTTGCACGGATGTTTCCGATCTCAATTGTGGAGTACTTGGACGGCACCTCCTTCGATATCACGACTTACGAGTTGTCCGCCTATAACTAAACGTATTCCTACCATTTCAGGTAGGGTGTTTGTGCCTGTTGCAGGCCCTTCTTGGTTGAACTGGGGGGCATAGAATGGTTTCAGTGTCATAATTGAGAATTTTGCACCATCTGGAGCAATTATTTACTAGACGGTGAAGCAAAAATGGATAAAGCGTCGTGAGTAATTTGAGTGACACCTTGCTTCTAGAGTTGACATCAGTACTGGATAAGATTTGATGGTCGCAGCTGCGACCTAAGAGGCCGGACTCGGAAGAGTTTGGCATCTGCCCAAAGTTCAAGTTGATGTGGAATGACGGGAGCCGACAAGAGCCTGCCAACTAAGAAATCAAAGAAAGAAGAGATCAGGTGCATTATACAGGCAGCGCCGTCGGATCTCTTCCTGACCCGTTTTCTGAATCTGCTTCTTGGTCCCTGGAGAGTTTTCTTCCCACAACGTCCGCGATTTTGCTTTGACTGAACTGGTGGTGACAAATTCGGTCAAGTAAGGGCTTCCCGACGAGATGTGCTCAGAGTTGAAACCTTGAAGCTTGAAGGTGCAGACTCGGCGTTGGCATCTCGTTGATGGACAGGTCACAGGTATCATAGATGGAGAGTACGTTCTCGCCGATCTATAATGTGTAGGATCCTTTGTCAGAAGACCAACCGAAAGATCTGCGCGCGGTTCAGATGACGTCTGTCTGGATGACGCGATCACATGACCTGCGTGAGTAAAAGACGGTTGAAGAACCCGACGACTGTCCCCACAAAAAAAATGACCTATGACTTGCCCAAGACCATCTTCCTAGCTCATCTTCCTTCGTCGGTATATGGTCCGTCCGAGGGAGACTAGTCAGAGATTTGTGCTCATCAGGTGCACACCAATTATCATAATCTCTGCAGGTCTGAATCACACGCTGTGAACTTCTTTGTAACGTGCATGCCAGTCTGGGACCCTTGCCATGGCACATTCTTTTGATCTAATTCACTATATTGCGTTCTTTTATTATGCTTCAGATCCACTCCCGAGGCATGGTGTACATGCAGACTGCAGTCGAGGTATCCTCCCATGGTGCCTACCTCTTCCGGCGACTCATCCGCTGAGCTTCATGAACTATCGCTTATGGCTGGAGATGAACATATACTACCAGGCGGTAGCTTTTGCTGCGTACGAGGGATACCATGCGACGGCATTGGTCTAATCTCGAGTTCACTTCGTGGCTAGTAAAACTTTCAGACTACTCTTGGGCTAGTTCCTCTACAAACTTCCTCTTCTTCTTAAACTCCTTTTGAGAGTACTTGTGTCATCCTCCCCGATTTCTGTGATTCCTGCTCGCCCCTGAACTGGTCTAGAAGCACGCAGCGGTGTACTGTGGTATGCAATGTTCAATGCCAAATCTAAGTGGACAACTCGTGAGTCGTGATATCATAATCATCGAGGAGGTTCTGTCCAAGTATTTCTACAACTGACATCAGCAACATCCTGGTAACGTCCTCGGAAAACGTTTGCCGTCACAGTTTACCCCCGCGACCACTTGGCACTGGCCTGGCTATTAGTGTGCTCTAGAAGATGGCGAGGTCATGCCAACGGCGGGCACAGGGGCAGGCCTATTGAGTTTTTGTATACATATGGTCGGTGTGTCTGCCGCATCCCTGAAAATGTGAAAATTGGGTCAATAAATCATCATCATAGATCGAAGTTCGCCAACACGTACCAGGAGGACTCGCAGCAGAGTGCATCCGGAACGTTATTTGAAGCCTTCAAAAAATTATGTCACGGAGTGTGGCATCTGTTTCGTGATGCAAGCACACCCAAATTGCTTGGCTGTCCCCTATACATTACCTGTGTATAAAAGCCAGCGTACTCAGGTTAGTTGTTGATTCAGACCGCAAAATCAAATTTCAGCCATGAAATTCACTTCACTCACCACTATCATCTCTGCCGTGGCAATGACTGGCGTAGCCATCGCATCTGAGGATGTGAACATAACACCCTTGAACTTTCCCTGCACAGGAGTTGGTGAGCACTTTTGCAACCTACATGGAGACCTTGAACCACATGCTTATGGCTATCGATTGATCAAGCGGGGTGCTCAGCTATGGGTGGGTTCAATCACGGAAACGGGTTCGGGTATTACTGTTCCAATAACAAAATCTGGAAGTATACGCCATGCCCGATCGGACAAAGATGTCATGTCACCAGTCCGAGTACGTTCGCATGTTCATGAGTGCTGAGCCTTGAGCCTCAGCCAATTCCATAGTGAGTGAGTCTGTCCTTTTCACCGTCTCTCGAATGTGAGTGCTGATGTGCTTGCTTTCACCAGTGCGTGGAACAATGAGCATGATACGTAGGCTACAGGAGGGCGTAAAGGAGTATGGCATGAAGTTCTGGAGTTTATTGAATCCTTCATGGTGATGAGAATATGATCTGTAATAAAGATTGAAGTCAAATATGATGAAGTTAGACCCGCTGTCGATGGGTTGCATGTCCTGCAAAGACATAGAGTGTAAGGATCATTATGCGTTGTATATCGCCGCTGTGCTGAAGTCTGTTGCATTCATCCATCGAGAGTGTCGGGAAGCATGAAATTTTGAAACATGGGAAGAAAGAGCTGCTCAACTGCTCAAACCAAGCTCAAATTGCTGAGCAGTAACAGAGCAACGGGTCAGTGACTCCGAACTGTGCTTAGAGCTAAGAGGAAAATGACTGCTGCACGACTTCTCACGCTTTCTCAACGTGCGCTGGCGGAGTTTAAGTACGGCTTCAATCGAGTCAACACCGATAAATCGTGCTGGCTTGCCAGCACGCATCTAGTAATGTTCACTGTCGTTCTTGCTTTACCAGTACTGCGGACGCAGTGGGCCATACGGGTACCCGGATAATAACCTCCAATAGCGCTTACAAGGCACAATTTCGAGGCTTTGGACCATTCGAATAGGCAAATGAGCTGGCGGTGGCGCTGCATGGCGCATGATGCATGATGGTTTATATTTCAATTACCATGTCAGGCAGGTGGCCATGGAGCGGTACAATAATCATTGCAGCTGTGACCAGGCTTTCTAGACCCAAGATGTTAGCCAGTGGATAAGAAAGCTGTCGGTGAGCTGGCAGGAAAGCATAAAAACAGCTTCACCAATGTCGCGCCATCGTCTACGGACATTAGCAGCTCTATGGAACAATATCTTCCTCTGCGCGATGGGCGTACCTTGGCATACGCAGAAGACGGGAACATATCCAGCAAGACCGTCGTTCTTCATTTCCATGGTTTATTCACTGTCGGGGGTGCGTTACTGAAGTCTCCTGTGCTTCTGAGCAAGAATATTCATCTCATCATGCCCACCCTGCCTGGGTGGGGCAACACGTCACCTCCTCCTCCGTCGACACCATACAACGACTGCATCGCAAGCGACATGACCACACTGTTGTCCCACCTGTATCCGGATTCCAACGACCGTGGCATCAAATTGTACATCTCAGGGAGCTCGTTCGGCTCGGTGCCTGCGCAGATATTGTACGGTGCACCGTATGATAAGTTCCCATTCGGCCGGTGCATATCAGGCGTGCTGCTGACGGGCGCGTTGACCCCGTTTCGCTACCACAAAGATTACGCCAAGCAGATGACATGGGAGAGCTACTTCATGTTTGGCCCCATCGGGTACTACGTGCCATTCAACCTCGTGTCTCATGTGATGAAATTTATGCTGGCGAGGAAAATGGCGACCATAGAAGGTGCAGGGGCAAGGTTGCGGGAAACATTTTTCAACAGGATGGATCAGGCGGAGCAGGAGATGTTTGCAAGGTGGAGTGAGAAACACGGGACAGTACCGGAGAATGTCGTGCGGAGAATGGGTGAGGGTTGCGTGAAGAGTGTCTCCAAGTCCTGGGAGGGTTTTATGCTCACGCTACCCCTTCTGCACTCGGATTGGGGTTTCCGGCCCGACGCGTTGGACGAGGAACACTCTCGTCCGCGTGTCCTGCTCACGGCGGGCAAGGACGATCACATGACTCCTGTGACCTATGCACACTATCTTGCTGCCAACTACAAGAACGCGCGGATAAAAGACATTGGTGGAGGACATATGAGTATGTTATACAAGAACGACGAGGTATGGGCAGAATTTTTGGCTGACGAGCCATAGATAATAACCTGCACTTTCATTATTTTATAATAATGTTCACGAGCTTCTTGATTGGCTTAGGTCTTCCCCGGCGTTGCCCCGGCGGGCCGATATCCGAAGGTTGGAATGAAAAATAAACGAACAAAGTGGTGTAAGTAGTCTGATCCTTACGGTCTAACTCCAGAGTGCGTGGAAACTGACCAAAACATATTCGACCTCAATGCGACCATACAAACTTGCTACAAATCCCATCTTCTTCATCATGACCGGATTCGATAAACTCTAGAACTTCGTATCATCAGCACTCCTGTACGCCCTCCTGCACGTATCATCCTCATCGTTCTATGCACTGGGAAAGCAAGCATATCAGCACTCGGACTCGGGAGACAACGAAAAGGATAGGCTCACTCAGGCACTGTGCAGTCGAGCGGGCGTCAAGGCTCAGCACTCATGAACATTTGAACTGGGTCCCGCTGGTGATATGACATTTGGTCCCACCCGTGCATGCCGTATACTTGTAGATTTTGTCATTGAGGCAGTAAAACCCGAAATCGTTGCCGTCGTTGAATCCTTTCATGGTCGAGCATCCCACTGCACCGGATAGACATGAGCATATGGTCCAAGGGCACATAGGCTACAAAAGTGCTCACCAGTTGTGTGGCAGGGAAAGTTCAAGGGTGTCACTGCCAGATCCTCGGATGCGATGGCTACGCCAGCCATCACAGCGGCAGAGATGATAGTGGTGAGTGAAGTGAATTTCATGGTTGAAACTTGATTGTGTTGTCCGAATCGTAATCAGGACGCTGGCTTTTATACACAGGAAATGTATAGGGGGCAGTCAAACAATCTGGATGTACTTGCATCACGAAACAGATGCCATGCTCCGTGACATAATTGTCTGAATGCCTCAGATAATGTTCCGGACGCACTCCGCGAGTCCTTCTGGTACGTGTTGGTGAACTTCGATATATGGTGGTGATTTATTCACCCAACTTTGATATTCACAGGGATACGCAGACGCACTCACTGACCAGATGCGTATAACAACTCAACAGGCCTGCCCCTATGCCCGCAGCCCGCATGACCTCACCACAAACTAAAGCATACTATTAGCCAGGCCAGTGGTCGCAGGGGCAAACTGTAACGGCTTTGTGGAATACGCAGAACGTCCTTGACGGTTCCTATATCGCGACTTATCAACACCTGTGCATTGAACAACGTCAATATAATATTCGAAGACAAGACCGGTAGTAGAGAATTACCTTCAGCAGCAGGGTTGGGGATAGCGCTTGTCAACATCTATGTTACAAAACTGGTGAATACACATATTAAGTGCAGCACTAAACGATTGCATTCCACATCAGGAGAACCCCCAGAAAGGAAACCTAACCCACGGCACAACAGACAAGGTACGGATGAGAGATGTGATGAGACGTAGACGAGAACTGCGGTTCTTTCAGCGACAGCGCGCTTGTTGACGACTATGTTGTCGTTGAACCAGGTGTAGTAGATTAGTTGAAACACGGTCAGTAACACACTCTGCGTCACAAGAATCGCATGAGCGAGTACCAAAATAATGTGTAGGGTGGGCAGGCTTGGAATCATGGGAGTGGTGTAGGTAGGAGCGACGATTCGACAGTCTACGAAAGCGTTGAGGTGCCGTCAGAGCATGAATTGATGAGGTAGTAGTAGTACCAGGAGACGACGTTGCACACAATATCATCGAGTAACAAATGACTTTGCTGAAGACTGTAGGCGGAAAACAACAATGCAAAAGCGAATGCGAAAACAAGACAGCACAAGAGTACGTGATGGATGTAACAGGGTAGTTCAGTGATTCCTACAACTTGGGGTACAACGTAGACAAAAAGAATGCAATTTAAAGAACCCGTGAAACCGTACAGGATGAAAGTAAAGTAATACAGCAGGAACTACACACCGATATGAATGAAAACCATCCTCTGCTCGAGCGGTACTTCCGACTTCACGGAGTTGGTAGCACGGTTCAGTGCCCAAGCCGCCTTCGTACAGTCCATGAACTCCCCATCCCCCAACTTCTTGACCATATTCTCATAAAAAGCTTTGACAACGTGATTTGCGACAGCGTCATCGACCTCCCATAGTGTGCCAACGACGCTTTTGAACCCTGAAAACTGGAGTCCCGCTGCGAGATGGATGACTTCGTCGGGCGTCTCCTTATCACCGACGGCGGTATGACATGCTGATAAGAATGCGAATTCAGCATGCGGAATGTCTTTGTCCATGATGTCGAGCAGCGTGAGAGGTGCGTCTTTCATGACGAAATGGGAATCGTAAGGCTGGTCATGGTCCTGCTTGCCGTGACAAGCAAGATGCACCCAGGTGTTCTGTTCCAGGGCTTCAAGGGCGCCTGCTCGTGTGGCCGCGTCGCCAGAAAGAGTGGAACGGTTGGCTGTCACAGGGACGAGCTTACTGACAAGCTCGATCTCACTGTCGACAGCTAAGAGTGCCTTGCCTTCGCCTGCACGCGGTTGACCCTGTCCGATCGCCACAAATGATGGAGGCACACGACGTTTCTTCATCATCTGCCTAGATCTGATCAGCGCCGAAAGTGTTGGCGTGTAAGAACAGATGTAAAGATCCTCCAGGCACGACTCCTTCCCAGAGCGATCTGCCTTCGTTCGAAACGGGTGAGCTGCATGAAGAGGAATGGATGTGAAGGCCGCAGTTGGACACAGCCAGATTCGAGACTGGCGCTTTAATTCGAGGACATGCTCGAGTACATTGACGACGGGTAGCATGATATTGTCCCACACCGCCCGTAAGAGGACAATCAGATCATTGCGTGGCTGCTTTAGGCCCATCTTTGATGCTTGCGGTATTGCCCTAGCGAACCGATCCTTGAGATCCTCGAGATCTTTGAGAGTGATAGATGGCAAGGCAACATTATGGGGCTCTCCTGACGTTGGGACAATGATGGCGCTGCACGAGTATTGGCTGGCAACGAGGATGATGACTGGGCCATTGCGAGCTGCAACTTGCAAGTCTTCGTACGAAGGTGGAAGTAGGAACCGCGAGAAAGCTCGGAGATTACGGATTTCAGCTACAGCAGCATCCCATTGCGCAGTAAGTCTCCTATACTCTGTTGCTGCTTGATCAGCAGCGGCTCTGTCAGTGATGACTGCAGAACCCTGAGCGGCGTTGGAAACGCGCTTGCTCAGGTCCAAAAATTTGCGGGCCAGATGTGGATGTCCCGATTCGAGGTCTTCAACTGGAGTCTTGAGTCGGGAGGCCAATGACCACTGTTGGCCACGGCCCTGCTCCGCAAGTTCGACTGCACGTCGGAGATTGTCACTGCGGATGGCACACGATGCTGCATCTACAGGTAGTGATCTGGCACAGTGGAAGGCAGCGGCAGCTTCGCGGCGCGAGGTGGTTGATGATCGTGTTACCAAATGAGCATCGAGAAGCTCGAAAAATGTTGAGTAAGCCTCCAGTGCGGATCCATCACCATGCTGCTCCGCTTTGATAGTCCAATCATATGCCTGAATAATGCGTTGTGGGAATCCTTGAGTAGGGTGTCGTGACGCGAGTCTGTAGTTCTCCACTGCGAGCGACAAATCAGCAGAGTTGTGCCGCATCTGGTAACGAGACTCATAAGCTTGCTGCAACCAAGCGTAGCTGAAAAATCTGTCTGGGTGGAGTTGTGGCAAAACCACCAACGACTCTTGGCAGAGTCGAATAGCCTCCTCGACATCGACATCCTTTGGAGTTCGCGTGAAACGAGAGCAGAGCGCCGAGCTCAAATTGTAAAGATTTCTATGGCGCACTGGATTATCAAGCTGCGTTAACCGAAGAGATTCGCGATACAGATCAATGGCCTCGTTGAGATCCTCGATGACATGCAATTTGTCATATCTCTCTTTGAGCGCGACGGCAATGTTGTGAAGCGTGGTGTCACGACGTGGATGCCCAGGTGGGTGCAACGTCAGTGCCTCGCGATAGAGGCTGACAGCTCGATTGATGTCATCAACGTCACTGTGTTTGTTGAAACGGGTGTAGAGGGCGACCCCTAGGTTGTCCAATGAGAAATCACGCATTCTGTGCCCAACAGGCCTCATGCGCAGCGCTTCTTCGTGCATGGAGATGACCTCGTCGAGGTCGTGAGATTTGCCTTGGTGTTCAAAGCGGGATTGGAGTGAGGAGGCCAAGTTATTCAGGTAGGTACCACGGTAAGAATGCCCTTCGGGGCACAGAGAAACGGCTTCACGACCAAGTTGTATGCACTCATCTATATCATCAATGCCGCCCTGTTGTGTGAATCGTGTTGAGAGTGCGTGTGCAAGCTTGTCGAGGGCTTTGGGACGGTAGTTGTGGGCCAGAGGGCAGAGCTCGAGCACGACTCGTCGAAGGTGGATGCCTTCGTTAGATGCATCGATCGGAAGATTGTTGCATTCGCCAATCATACAATTCACTGCACTGTCTACGCCGATGCTACGAAGGTAGGTGCCCTCTGGACAGAGGGGCAGTAGCTTGCAGCACAGCTGCAGGGATTCGTGAATGAACACGGCGGTGCGCTCCTTGCTGTGGCGCCAGTTCAATGCTGTAATGAGATTATAGAGAGATAATGTGTGGTTGGGATGGACCTGCGGACGCAATGCCAGGGCATCGCGGAAGAGGGAAGTGGTGGTATCAATGTCTTGCAGATCGTCTTGAATGTAGCCTTGAAGGCGGGCACACGCGAGGTTGGTGAGAGCTGCAGCGTGGTCAGGATGGTCGACTGAACAGCGGCCCAGAACCGACTGAAAATGCTGTAAAGCATCGTTCAGGTGAGAGACTGCCTTGGTGGTCATGTATTCGGCATATCGTGCGTGGCCCGCATCTGTCTCTCGAGCAATCTCGAAGTCTACGAGGGACTACAGTTGACATTCCGTCAGCAAAAGCTAACCGCAGAGGCCAGTGCCACCCACGTAAAATAGTGCGCCATCCTGATTATCGCAAGCGTGTACAACAATGGCCTTCAGCGTGAGCAAAGGATTGACACCGCCAACGGGTGGGAAGGACAATTCTACGGGATGTGAGCAGATATGCATGAATGAGAAGTATATTACTCACCGAATGGCTCATCTCCATGATCGAGTAACTCATCCCACGATGTTTGAAGTTTTCCGATGATTTCACCATTGCCCAGCATTCGATCAAGCTCAAAGGACGCTCTGATCTCCACTGATAATGAAGGTGATGCATGTGTTCTATAAAGCGAGGATGAGTACTCGAATCGTGTCCGAAAGTTTTGAGGGACTTTACAGGGTCACGGAATCTCCCCATGCTACAGATTTATCGGATGACAAGACTCTGACGGCTGATTTCCAGCATCTCCTCGAATCGACATTGATAGATATGTAAATACCAGCGGATATGCGCTTGGAAGGGACTCGAAGATTTTTTGCGCCGATGACTGTAGATAGAGCGAGAGCATCACAAAAGAGATTCCAAGGTGATACGGAGTGACCTACTTTCAAGTCTAATAGATTGGCTTTCTGCGCTACCGGGCATGATGGAACGATGAAGCAAACCGACGATGGAGGCTGGGCTTAGTGGTGGGTGGAATGAGCGGTAGGAGAAGACGGGGGTAGGGATATGTGTAAATGGAGTTTGAGAGGGAGAGAAGAGGTTGAGGGTATAGGTGATGGCCATTGGCCACATATGTATTTCCATGTTGTTGTTGTCAACTTTGAGGGCCATTCGGCGCGATAGACGTGTATGATTAGACTAGACAGGCTCATCAGCGAAAGTGGCACGGTCGTCAGGGTCATCTATGAGGTGAGTGGGAACTGGCGATCATCTTCATTGCGACTCGGACTTTCACTGCACAACGAGGTTGATGACATGGGCAGTGAAAACACAAAACGGTGAAAACAATGGACACAGAGAAAGCTGAATATTTGATTATGTATGAGTACAATCGAGCTGATAGTACTAGTGCCATGGCAAATTTTTCCCTTGTGAATTGGCTCAAGTTGAAGTGAGCAATTGCCCGATACTCATTGTCCTTCACATGGATCCTCCCGCTTATCCCCATTTTAACTCGTATCCGCGGATTGACGTTTGGGGTGTGTCAGTGGCTACAAGGTCTGTATTTATTGAATGAGCCTCGCATTGCTAACAAGATGTTCTATGATCACCGTCGCTCATGGAATTGCATAGGACAAGGAGGGAACGGCTGTCAGTGAGGTAGGTTCAAGTGAGACAGCGCGGGGCTCAGCAGCTGTTCTGTCGATTAAAGAGATAGAATCATGTTTAACTCGAAGGGCTGTTGACAGGCGAGTATTTCTTCCTGCTCTGTATCTGCTGACTTGTATCAGGTTAGGCACGCATAGAACATAATGTGCGCCCTTTTGAATTCTGCACGAGTTCTACTGGAAACTGACTCAGACAAACGTGTTGAACTTTGATTTTGTTCGGAGGACAGCGGGAGTTTCGGAGGAATCGTTGGGAGCACTTTCGGGGCCTCTATGATATCTTTGCTGCTAGTAACTCAGCAGTGCCGCTCTCGATGAGCCCACATTTTTTTCTTTCCTTATTAGTTGAATTCCCCGACGCACCTTAGCACCTTATGCAAGAGAGATCTGCTGCATTTACCCTAGGCTGACGCCTTGCTCTGTACATCACGAGTCTCCTGTCGCCTCCGTTCAGTCACCATCTATATGAGCTACATACATCACAATGCAGTGGATATAAGCACAGTAGCAGACGCACGTGAAGCATTGACAAGGCCGCCAACTTTGATGGGTGAAGTATTCCTGCGGGCACGAGCGCTCAGTGCATCAACCGTGCTTCTATCCGGACGTTGTTGCACTGGGGGTGCTTTAGTGGAGGTCCAGAAGACTTTAAAGACGAATTGGAAGGTAACGAGTCTACTCGCACTCGAATAGAAGACGATGCCGCACAATTTACATCGAGACTTGAATGAATAACTCTGCTAAAGCGTGAGAGACAGGTAGATGCGAAATCGAGATGACTACACCGCGAGAAATAACTTCATGTACACAGGTATGGTAGAGAATCCATGATCAACGACTCGTAACTCCTTACCAGACGAAAGCAATACAATAGTACTACACACCAATATGAATAAAAACCAATCTCTGCTCGAGCGGCACTTTCGTTTTCACAGCGTGAGTAGCACGGTTCAGTGCCCAAGCCGCCTTCGTACAGTCCATGAACCCGCCATCCTCCACATCCTTGACCATGTTCTCGTAGAACGCTTCAACGACGTGTTTGGCGACAGCATCGTCAACCTCCCACAGCGTGCCAATGACGCTCTTGAACCCTGAAAACTGAAGTCCAGCTGCGAGATGGATGACTTCGTCAGGCGTCTCCCTGTCGCCGACGGCGGTATGGGACGCTGATAAGAACGCGAATTCAGCATGCGGAATGTCTTTCTCCATGATGTCGAGCAGCGTGAGAGGTGCGTCCTTCATGACGAAATGAGAATCGTAAGGCTGTTTGTGGTCCTGTTTGCCGTGACATGCGAGATGCACCCAGGTGTTCTGTTCCAGGGCTTCAAGTGCACCTGCTCGAGTGGCTGCTTCGCCAGAAACAGTGGAACGATTGGCCGTCGCGGGGACGAGCTTATTGACAAGCTCGAGCTCGCTATCGACAGCTAAGAGCTCCTTGCCATTCCCTCCACTCGGTTGACCTTGTCCAACCGCCACAAAGGATGGAGGTACACGACGTTTCTTCATCATCTGCCTAGATCTGATCAGCGCCGAAAGTGTCGGCGTGTAAGAACATATGTAGAGATCCTCCAGGCATGGCTCCTTCCCAGAGCGATCCGCCTTCATTTGAAACGGATGAGCTGCGTGGAGAGGAATAGAAGTGAAAGCTGCAGTTGGACACAGCCAGATTCGCGACCCTCGCTTTAATTCGAGGACATGCTCAAGTACGTTGACGATGGGTAGCATGATATTGTCCCATACTATTCGCAATAGGACTATTAGGTCCGACCTCGACTCCGTTAGGCCCATGCGAGATGCTAGCTGTATCGCTCTGGCGAAGCGACCCTTGAGATTCTCCAGATCTAAGAGAGTGACAGACGACAAGGGAATATGGTGGGGCTCTCCTGAGGTCGGGACAACAATGGCGTTGCACGAGTATTGGCTGGCAATGAGGATGATGACCGGTCCATTGCGTGCTGCTGCTTGCAAGTCTTCGTATGAAAGTGGAAGTAGGAACCGCGAGAAACCTTGAAGATTACGGATTTCAGCTACCACGGCTTCCCATTGCGTCGTAATTTTCCTGTACTTTGTTTCTGCTACTTCAGCTGCAGGTCTGTCGGTGATGGTTGCAGAACCCTGAGCGGCGTCGGAAACGCGCTTGCTCAGCTCCAAAAAATTGCGGGCTAGATGTGGATGCCCCGATTCGAGGTCTTCGACTCGAGACTTGAGACGAGAGGCCAATGACCACTGTTGGCCACGTCCCTGCTCCACAAGTTCGATTGCACGCCGGAGATTGTCACTGCGGATGGCACACGATGCTGCGTCTACAGGTAGTGATCTTGCATAGTGGAAGGCAGCGGCAGCTTCGCGGCGCGAGGTGGTTGATGATCGTTTCCCAAATGAGCATCCAGAAGCTCGAAAAATGTTGAGTAAGCCTCAAGTGCGGATCCATCACCATGCTGCTCCGCTGCGACAGTCCAATAATATGCCTCAATGAGACGGTTCGGAAATCCTTGAGTAGGGTGTCGGGATGCCAGCCGGAAGTTCTCCATTGCGAGTGACAAATCAGCAGGATTGTGCTGAACCTGGTAACGAGATATATATGCGCCATGTAGAATGAAGTATGAGTAGTGCCTGTCAGGGTGGAGTTGTGGCAAAACCACCAACGACTCTTGGCAGAGTCGAATAGCCTCCTCGACATCGATATCCTTCGGAGTTAGCATGAAACGAGAGCAGAGCGCCGAGCCCAAATTGTAAAGTTGTTTATGGCGCTCTGGATTATCAAGCCGTATGACCAGAAGGGATTCGCGATACAGATCAATGGCCTCGTTAAGATCCTCGATGACATGCAATTCGTCATATCTCTCTTGGAGCGCGAGGGCAAGGTTGTTAAGCGTGGTGTCACGACGTGGATGCCCAGGTGGGCGCAACGACAGTGCCTCGCGATAGAGGCTGACAGCTCGGTTGATGTCATCAACGTCACCGTGTTTGTTGAAACGGGTGTGGAGGGCGCTCCCTAGGTTGCCCAATGGTAAATCACGAAATGTGTGCCCAACAGGACTCAGGCGCAGCGCTTCTTCGTACATGGAGATGACCTCGTCGAGGTCATGAGATTTGCCTTGGTGATCAAAGCGGAATTGGAGTGAGAGGGCCAAGTTGTTCAGGTATTCACCATGGTCAGAATGTCCCTCGGGGCACAGAGAAACGGCTTCACGACGAAGTTGTATGCTCTCTTCTAGATCATCAATGCTGCCCCGTTGTTGAAACCGTGTTAAGAGTGACTGTGCAAGCCCGTCGAGGGTCAAGGGACGGTATTTCTGGCCCAGGGGGAGAAGCTCGAGCAGGACTCGTCGAAGGTGGATGCCTTCGTCAGATGCATCAATCGGAAGACTGACGCATTCCACAATCACATAATCGACCGTACCGTCTACGCGCATGCTACGAAGGTAGGTGCCCTCTGGACAGAGCGGCAGTAGCTTGCAGCACAGCTGCAGGGATTCGTGAATGAACACGGCGGTGCGCTCCTTGATGTAGCGCGAGTTCAAGGAGAAAATGAGATGAAAGAGAGATGATATGTGGTCGGGATGGCCCTGCGGACGCAACGCAAGGGCTTCACGGAATAGGGAAGTGGTATCGATGTCTTGCAGATCGTTTTGAATGTAGCCTTGCAGGCGGGCCCACGCGAGGTTGGTGAGAGCCGCTGCGTGGTCAGGATGGTCGACCGGACAGCGGTCCAGAACCAACTGAAAATGTTGTAAAGCGTCGTTCAGGTGAGAGACTGCCTTGGTGGTCATGTATTCGGCATATCGTGCGTGGCCCGCATCTGTCTCTCGAGCAATCTCGCAGTCTACGAGGGACTACAGTTGACATTCCGTCAGCAAAAGCTAACCGCAGAGGCTAGCGTCACCCACGTCAAATAGTGCGCTGTCCTGATTGTCGCAAGCGTGTACAACAGCGGCCTTCAGCGTGAGCGAAGGAGTGACACCGAGAACGGGTGGGAAGGACAGTTCTACGGGATGTGAGTACATACGCATGAATGAGAAGTAGGTTACTCACCGAATGGTTCATCTCCATGATCGAGCAACTCATTCCACGATGTTTGAAGTTTTCCGATGACTTCGCCATTGCCAAGCGTTCGGTCGACCTCGTAAGATGCTCTGATCTCCACTGATAACGCAGGTGACTCGTGTGATGATCTATAAACCGAAAATCAGTCTTGAATCGCGTCCGAAAGTTTCTATGGACTTTACAGGGTCATGGTATCTCCCCACACTACGGATTCGTCAAATGATAAGACGCTGATGGCTGATTTCCAGCGTCTCCTTGAGTCGACATTGATGGACACGTAAATGCCTGCAGGCATGCGCAAGGAGGGGACTTGAAGATTTTTTCCGCCAATGACTGTAGATAGAGCGAGAGGATCACAAAAGAGATACGAAGGTGATACGGAGTGACCTACTTTCAAGTTTAATAGATTGGCTTTCTGCGCTATCGGGCATGATGGAACGATGAAGCAAAACGATGAGGATGGAGGCTGGGCTTAGTGGTGGGCAAAATGAGCGGTAGGAGAAGACGGGGGTAGGGATACGCGAACTGCAGATGGAGTTCAGCTGAGAGGAGAAGAGGTTTGGGGTTCGGTGGTGGCTACACGTGTATTTGGATCATGTTGTTGAGGGCTGTTCAGCACAATAGACGCTGGTACGATTAGACTAAGCGCTGAGACGAAATATCACCGATTAGAATTAGCGGGAGAACCTGTGGGTGGGGAATGCGGAGGTCAGACTCATCAGCGAAAGTGGCACGCCAACGGTGTACGAGACTGAGCGTCCTGTGATATTTGCTTCTCCTGAACTGAGTGGTACGACTCATTTAGCACACCAAGGCAAAATGTAGAATCGAGTTTATAACACAAGGCAATGCAAAACGGTGAAAACAATGCACACAGAGAAAGCTGAACAATTATGTATGAGTTGATGATGCCATGGGGGGAAGGAGGATTATGGAAACACCAGAAACAGATTTGCGAGAGTATGAGTCGGATTCGCTGAATGCAGCAGACGTGAATGCGACCTGGAAGACAATCAGCTGTGGTAGATCAGTCTTTATAATTACAATGAGAGTGAAAGCGCAACAAGAGAGAGAAAAAGAAGCACAGCCACCCATTCCGTACTTCTTCCTTTTTTCATACTTATTTACTCGTGGCGTGTGGCCCTCAGTCCCACCCGATGATCATCGATTCATCTGACGCAAAACCAAAAACAGCCGGTTGTCTGAAGCATTGTAGCTTCATGCCGAACTACGCTTGCATCTGATTTGCTCCCTGTAGAGACAATCAAGAAGGAACGACTGTCTTCCTTCTATATCGTCTGGCTAGGGCAGACTATGTAGAGACGACACTGGATCCGACTTGGACTGGGCCTCGGGTACACGGGGAGGTTAAACACCATCAATACTCCATTACCGACCCTCGCTGGAGCGTGCACGGGCAAGACCAAACCTCTAAGGCAGGAGGAGGAGGCGGTTCTATCTGTTGAGGACCGACTACAGCATACACTACGACAACTGACTACGAGCATGGACTCCAGTCACTGCCCCATGACCCTGGTACATTGCGAACCATCCTTTGGAATCGGCTCACCTCCGCGGGAAAATACACTTTCATTCCGTCAAAAGACTGCTGCTAGTTTTAACAGGCAGAAAGATAAACGCTCAAATAGGGTACACATAAAATATGCTTATATGCCGCTCAAGTCACGCAGTTGAACGGCTTAAATTCTTTCGTATTGAGTTGATATACATATGAGGTGCGTACCAGACTAGTAGTGCCATGCCTTCGATCATTCTACGTATGTGCAGTGTCAACACGCATAGTAGTGGTTCGGGCGGACGAGTGGAGAAGGCATCGCAATGACAGGGTAAGATGGCAAGATGAGCACTACTGATCTGAAGCTAATCCCGTGCTCCAGCTCTCTCCGAACAAGCTCCCTCATTTTACGAGGCCCCCTACTTCACGTTTGACTCGCCTGGAACATAGTGCGAGAATTTCTGCACTGTCGATTTTCGCACGAGAGTCAGGACTGGGCGGTGGACTATAGTGGAAGTAACTGGTACACCTGGACTGGGTGGTCGGACGAGTGCGCTGCTGGCTGGATTCTTGGTTGAACTAGAGGACATGGATTTATTGTAAGTCCTGCACCATCTCGAGCCATTCTTTACTGGTAACATCCAGATTTTGGAATGAAAAAAAAAAACGGACAAAGCATCGCGTGTAGTCTGATCCTTACGCACCATTTCTCTCAGGACACGGTCTAATTCCAGAGTGCGTGGAAACTCAGAGAAAGCATTTGTTTAGTAGCTTCTGTATGTTTTCGAAAACGGGTCTAATTCCAGAGTGCGTGGAAACTCAGGAAAACATATTTGAGCTCAATTTTACCATACAAAAGTTGTCACAAATCCTATCTCCATCATGACCGGATTCGATAAACTCCACAGCTTCATGCCATCAGCACTCCATTACGCCCTCCTGCACGTATCGCACTCATAGTTCTATGCGCCGGGGAAAGCAAGTATATCAACACTCGGACTCGGGAGACAACGAAAAGAATAGGCTCACTCAGACACTGTGCAGTCGAGCGGGCGTCAAGGCTCAGCGCTCATGAACATTTGAACATGGTCCCGCTGGTGATGTGACATTTAGTTCCGTTCAAGCATGCCGTATACTTGTAGATTTTGTTATTGAGACAGTAAAACCCGAAATCGTTGCCGTGGTTGAATCCTTTCATATTTGAGCATCCCACTGCACCCGATAGCCATAAGCATGCGATCCAAGTCTGCACGTAGGCCACAAAAGTACTCACCAGTTGTTGAGCAGGGAAAGTTCAAGGGTGTCACCCCCTCATCGGATGCGATGGCTACGCCAGCCATAGCAGCGGCACAGATGATAGTGGTGAGTGAAGTGAATTTCATGGTTGAAAATTGATTGTGATTTCTGAATGAAAAACTAGCCAAAGTACGCTGGCTTTTATACACAGGAAATTTATAGGAGGCAGCTAAGCAATCTGGATGTTCTTGCATCACGAAACAGATGCCACACCCGTGACATAATTTTGTCGAAGGCCTCAAATGATGTGCCGGACGCGCTCTGCTGGTCCTTCTGGTACATGTCGGCGAACTTTGATCTATGATGATGATTTATTCACCCGATTTACACATTCGCAGGGATGCGCAGACGCACTCACCGACCAGATCAATAGGCCTGTCTCTATGCCCGCAAGATCTCGCCATCTACTAAAGCATACTATTAGCCAGGCCAGTAGTTGCGGGGGTAAACTGTAACGGCGTTGCGGAGTACTTGGACAGAACCTCCTTGATGGTTCCATTGAATATCACGACTTACGAGTTTTCCACCCCATTACCAGACGTATTCCTCAAATTCTTTAGCCCCAGGGTATGTAGATAGGGTGTCTGTGCCTGCTGTCAGCGGCCTGATTGGTCGAACTAGGGGTTATGGATTTGCCATTATGGAAGTCCTGCGGCACCTTGAGCCATTCTTTACCGGCTGGGGGTTGGAGAGAAACAGACATAGCATAGTTTGAGCGACACATTGCTTCTAGAGTCGCCGTTTTGATAGACTAATCGCAGTAAATGGTTCTGCAAACTCCCATGCATCGATAGAACACTTTACAGGCGACTTCGCCGGTGAAGTCGATCTGGATGGAACCGTATTTTTAACAATCAAGGACGCCTTGGCTGTAGTTCAGTTCCGGGAGATCTGCTAAAGGGGACATTTCAGCACCGGAGGAGTCATACTACCGCGGCACTCAATACGAAATGTCAGGTCCACGTCGTTGGTTGTGGTCACTCCAGATGCGATCACATGACCTGCACCGTGACGCGTAAAACTCTTTTTCGGCTTAGCGCATCATTACATAAAGACTCAACGACACCGCAGGATGAACTTCGCGACCAACGACCATGATCATTCTTCATCAGTTTTTTTTATTGTTCATCCGAGGGAGACACCAAGCACTACCCAGAGATTTTTCTGCATCAGGTGCACATCCCGATCATCTTTTTCTCTGTAGAAACGTTCTGAAGTTCTGAATCACACGCTGTGAACTTCCCTGCAACGTGCTGATGGCAGAATCCGCAAACACCAGATATGATCTGGTAGTACTGTCACGACGCGAATAGTGCAGGGGGCAAAAGAACTTTGGCTCCTGATTTTTGCCGGCGCAGCAGAACTGTGGAGCTACCATTCAGGACTCCGAGTCCAGATCGGCGCTGTCGTTGGCACCAATATGGCAGATCGGAACTTTCATTCTATCCGTAATCTCTTGACGCTCCTGCCACGTAACATACAGATCGGGAACGCGGTAGAAACTGCATATACCAATGGGCGCGATGCAATTCTACGCGCGCTTTCCTGCAGGTTTGAGCACCGAGTCAATGCCAATCTGAGTATCTTAAGAATCCCTGATATTTCTAAAGCACTGCACAGGGCTTATAATATATACATAATATGGTATAATATCGCTTGTAGGCACCAGTGCCTCGGATTCATTTTTCCGCTGGTGTCTCCCAACTCGAACGCTCAGATCCGTCCATGTAGTCTACCACCACTGAGCGCTCCACACATACACGTACACCGAGTTCCATGTCGCCGTTGCGAGGAGATGTTGGCGTAAGCTCTGCATCGATGGGATTTTTGGAGCTTTTAGGGCTTTTAGAATGGGTTTTAGACTCGAAGTATGAGCGGAGACCGGACGTTTTCTTCTGCGCAGTGACTGTAGGACGCGCGATGACCACATTTTCCAAGCATCGTGCCTCTGGCTCTTTCATTTCTTTGTGGGCGCGAGGTGAGCAGGAGAAACAGAATCAGCAAACATCACAAGCGTCAGCGGAATAACAGCCAAGCTCTGGAGTGGTGCACGCACCTCGTATGTGGATGAGGATCCGCTGGCTCATGATCCATGTTACAGCGTAACCAACCGATGCCCTGATGATGCATTCTGAGCAGTCTGAATCTCCTGACGCTAGACGATGCAAAACTTACCCTGCCGACTAATAAAAGGCACGAGCAGAAAGAATCGCACTAAGTGTCCATGGTGTATTAGTCATTAAGTCCACACACCTGCGTATCGAAACTGGTTGTGTGATAAAGGATGAGGTTCAATACGTTCGACGCTGAGGGAATGTTAGGAGGGTGCTCGTCAAAAGCAGAGGGCACTTGCCTGTCAACACGATGAAATATCCAATGCCGTCATAGATCAGACTAAGTACGATGAGCGTCGCGCATGGACTGCCAGTGGTAAGGGACTTACACCCGTATCAGCCGTTCTACTCTAATATCAATGGTTTAGCGACCCCAAAGACGGAGGAGGGAATATGCGCACCTGTTGCTCATCGGATTATAATGCAGTAGGTGCGCGGTAGAAATGGTCACCATCACGATGTCATACAACATCGCAGAGAGGTAGAAAAACCAAGTTGACAATACTTTGCCAGCATTTGCTGGGGTGCAACTATGGTTATTGAAGACGTCAGACGAACAGCCCGCAACATTGGTAAAGGAACTACTTACTTTCCCTACAACAGGATGCTGTTTACGTGAGATGTTCATTATGAGGGACGCGACTTACATTAATAACAACAGCTGTTAGTGCTAAAGGTCAATGCAAACCCAAGATTAAAATGTAACCAGAACTTACGGGTCCGGTCAAAGATATCGGTGAACCACTCCACCTACAACGTTCAAGAGAGGTAATGGCATATCTGTGTGATAATAGCTCACCGAAACTAAGAATATGTATAGGATCAATAGGGCAATTCCTATGCGCCTATCTCTCCTTGCGATATTGTATGTCCTACACGGCGTTTAAGTCTGCAGTTCGTAACCCACACAAAAATCGACAAGACACACCTGACACCTAGGATGACCTGTGATATCATAGTTTGTGCGGCTGCAGCGTGGTCAATATAGTATTGGTGGTTGAACGTTGGGCACCAATAGGACAGACCTTTGAAGATTGGCGTCATAAAATAATATTTTTGACACGTTTCTTGGGTAAAGCCGGTGGAGAAGTATCCGTAATTACTGACTGCTATAGCCACGATACTAACATAGCTGCATTAAATGTGAGCGAAAAGATACCTTATCGGAACGAGCACAAAACATACCGAATGAGAATGAATAAGATGCAGGAAAGACTGATGGAAATCAAGCTCAGTCAACAGTGGTACGTGAGTGCTCGCGTATGTGTACCTTATATGAAAAATAGACGGTTGGCTTCGATAAAAACGCCATTCTGCAGGGAGTGTGATGATATAACTGAACGTAATCAGTCAAAATACCTTGACAAGCACGGGGCTGCAACAAAGAAACGACTCACTCGTAAAATGCGATGGAAATGGATGCTACTCGCAAATACTTCTCTGTGGTTGAGCTGTCCACGACCACATTCCGATTTATCATGATTCAATAGATAAAAGACGCGTTTATTCTGGTATTGTGTCGGGCAGATCTGTCCTTGATGGATCAGTGAGGCAAGGGATGAGACAAGATCTTACGATGTACCAAATTTGAATCCTGTTGCAGTCGAGCAAGCTTGTAATGAAAGGCTGCTGCAATTCGGGGCTCTATGATCTGGACGCCTTGTTTTCGAAAAGGAAAGGAAGCAAACCAGGGATGGAGGATGCAAGTTACATCGGCATTGTTTTTCTACGAAAACCACACTTTAAATTTAAATTTGATTAAACATGTTTGAGTGGGAGCCCAGAATCATCCGATGCTCGGTCGGATTCAAATTTCAGGCTCAGTAAAACTTTCTGGCAAGGGTGCAGGCATGTTTTTAAGGTTCACACGAGTGCTGAAGTCGTTGCTAGCGCTGATTAGTAAGCAGGCATATGGGGGTTATGAAATTGTTGATCGCCGGTGTCAGTCAATTATTTGATTTATTGTAGTTGCCTCTTGCGACCTGCGAGGAACGCATCCGACTGTCACAATCCTGCCAGACGTCGTTCAAAATTCACGTTAAAATTTTTGAATCAGGAGCTTGGCTCCAATAGCTATATAGGCCAATATAATTCCCAGTCGATCGCATGTGTTACCTGGAGGGTTTCAAAAATTTACATACTCACCGTATGTCGTTGCCCGCACCGCAGCACGAGTCCGCCTCCAAGATCCCAGGCGAATTTGATCCGAAGTCTAGATAAGTTCGTGGAGAGTGCATGTCCGGCGCATCCCGTTGCCTCTACCCATAGTAGCCTTCTGGATGTCCGTCATTCGACAGCGACAGGGTGATGAAACGAACTGTTTTTATGTCACCTCGCACCGCCCATTAGCGCTTAGCACCCCTGTCAATCTGACATTATGTATTTATTAGCGTCCGCGGGGAAGATCCTAGTGATGCCCAAACCATCAATTTCCAAACTATATAGTGAATGCAACAACCATGTCAAGTTCAGCGGCCAAAACTCCACTAATGTCGAGCGAAAGCTTATAAGCGCCGTGATAGAGCCGGAAATTGTTCTCGCAAGTGTGATCGGCAGCTCAGTTGTTGCGGCAGTGATTTCTGGCACTGTAGTGAGAGCGAGCGTGGCTGGCAAGAACATTGTTAGCAATATTAATACGTACGTGCTATAAAATAAGGGAAACATCATAGTCAGATGTCACTACGGAAGGCAAGGAAATGAGGTTGTTGACATGACGAATTGCAGGGTACATACTGCTGGCGGTGTTTCTCGTGTTCGTCACATTAGCTCCACAGCAAGCGATGCGATGACCAAGTATATATGCAGCGTACTTGAAGTTGTGCTGCCCCCCATCAATGATGTTATATGAATTCGGGGTTGCTTGCGCACACTTGTTACTTGTGAGAGAAGTTAGCGCAATGCTTGCTCCCGGAGCCACAGCTCAGCTTGAAACCCGTCCAATAAAACGTCGCTACACGAGCGAGCCAAAAAAAATTCAACAGCTCCTTCATTCTTCTGGCCCGACGGTATGGACTGATTATCGCTCAAGCATTTCCACGGTCAAGAGACGTGCATAAGACTCTAAGAAGAGAACTACAAACATCTTCAACATGTAGAATTTCAGCAGATCCAGCTGATACAGCATAGTACAAGGCTAACTCGAAGAGTCACGGGCGGAGGACTGAATTTGAACCACTGATGTGGACTTGTGAAAGTTTTTTTTCCCTTCCTTCTCTTGGAACAAGACTCAACAAAAATGAGAAATCACCAGGGATGTGTACTCACATCTGACTGTGCAAACATGAAGGTTAGGCTGAGGCAGTGGGGCTGCAAGGCCCTTACAGCCCAAAAACCCACAAGGGCAGGAAATACGCACTTCGGGTCTGCCGGCCCTTGCCGTAGCTTAGTCAGCAACAGAGTAAGGGTTTGTTTGCCACGGAGCCCACCTTGCTCGCTCTGGAATGCCTCGGGTGTGTCGAACCACACTAGAATACATGAGTTCTCTTTCCATCTTCTGTCTGAGAGTACGCGCAGGATCTGTGTCCTCGTTGCGACCTGCGGCACGAATCACCTCCTTGTCTTGCTCTGTCATCTCTGTCCGTAAATGCAACTTGTTCTGCATATCCGCCCGAATATGCATGTTGATATACCTATGCAACGTGGTTAAAAGGGCCCCACTCAAACCCAGGGAATATGAACCTACTCTAGACATCTCATAGCGCTAAAGGGTTGCTGGAATCGAGTGCCCGTGAGGGGACAGGTACGTTCGAAGGGCTCACGTTCCCTCGCCATCTCAAGGACAACAGAGTTGATGTGACACTCAAAGCTTATGGCGGTGCTCGAGAGTCCTACACAGGTGAGATCTAGCAGCCCAACAGGATCTTTGGCGAACCGCCCTGTATTATGCTTTATCCGAGCCTCACGCCATTGGAGTTGTCGCTGCGGTGTGAGCGGGTCCGCGCCCTTCATACCCGGGTGCCACGGAGTTATGGCGTTGACTTGCGCCATCCCTTGAAGTTTCTCTCCAGCAGCCCAATTTCCATCAAAATACAATCCCATGAAGTCAAAAACATCACTCGGCTCAAGGCCAATATCAACATGTGCCACGAAAGGCACCTCGAATCCAACACGGGGATTGCGGAGTAGGCCACATTCGAGGACAATGGCAACTTTGAGGTACATCATGATCAGCGGATTCACACCGAGCGTTCGGATGAGTTTGAAGAGTGCCCCCCTCGAGGAGGATTGTTCGACTTCGTTACATCCCAGTTTGTGGGTGGGCCTATCATGGCATGCGCGATCTAGAGTAAGACGGTCCCGATCTGTGTCGATCGTAGGCAGTACTCTCACCAGTGTTGCTTTTGGCACTACACACGCCGTCAGCGATTCAGACTTGCAGGATCATCCCAATCGCAAAGCCTACCTCTTTTGAACAATACAACACACTCTTACACTAAAAGCGATTTGCGACATTCCATGAATGCCCGCATCAGTATTCGGGTGCTGTTTGACCACTACTTACCTTTGCGCAGTGTCGAGGTTTCTCCATTGCTGTTTGACACTGCGTACATTTTAGGAGAATTTTGTTCTGACGCCCTTTGCGGTATACACTGGAAGATGCCAGTGCTTGGAAAGTAGTGTCCCGCTCTGGATCGTACGAATGTATCATGACCAGTTCCTGAGCCGCAGGGGCGTTATTCGTGTCAGCACTCATATTCTAGCAAAGGCGGCAGTATGAGATGATTTTAGTGGCGAGTTGATCAGTGGATCCACAGTGTTACTGGAAGGGAGACCTTATCGATTATCTCCACAACCAAACTTGATCTAGGCCGGAGTCCCGGGCCATCTTTCCAGAGTAAATGGCTTTTTGCTTCCGCATGTTCACTGAAGGATACTGATATGCTACCATGTAGGTAAAATGCTGCGCCTCTGCTGCGACTGCTGCGGTAACTGGCATGCCGCGATGATCCACTGCTGCGGTGCTCACAAATATTAACAGTAAGTGCGCATTCACTACGCCTGCGCAGCATTATCACGCTGCCCATTTTTGAGCAAGTAAGCTAGTGTCAGCACTAGTAATTGCAGCACGCCGCAGCCTAGCTGTGACTGATGAAAGCGTGAGTTTTCATCATCACTGCCTTTTAGCGTAACGGTTAAGGAATGACAGTCTTTACTACTTACAAGATCTCACCTACTGTTAATCGCAGATGCCACCTACCCCACTGATGAATAGCAGCACGGGCACTGTTGACTTCAAAGTCGGTAACGAGACGTACCAAACCTGGTACAACATTGTTGGTGACCTCAAGTCGGGCAAACGGCCACTCGTTACGCTTCATGGAGGTCCCGGGATGTCTCATATCTATATGATATCGCACACCGAGATTTATTCTCTCTATGGCATCCCAGTCATCTTCTATGACCAGCTCGGCATCGGAAAATCTACTCATCTTTGTCAAGAGTACGCCTAACCACCAGGGCGTCCAGGACGTCACGACGTCCTGACATATATAAATGCAAGACATTAGTAGTACCTTACTCATTTTCTCTTTCCGTTTTTCGCCGTATTCTAACTCTATATAAGACTATGAACACGCGCCAACGCACCTCAGTCCCTTTGATCGTGACTGAGGTGTGTATCATGTTTTCCTCACCCTTGTTTTCATTATACTCACTATATACATTAGACTCGTTCTAGGTTCGTATACTACATTGAATACCAGTCCCTTTGATCGTGACTGAGACTCGTTCTAGCTCTCGTCTTTCCACAGGTTATGAGCCCTGCCTGAAAGGACAGCGGCATTACACCATCTCTCGCGTTAGCACCTCTCGAACATCCGTTCACCCATCACGCTTCCTTCCGGGATTCAAACCAATATCGAAGTGTCACCCCTAACTGTCGATCACTATGACATCGTCGGATTCTCTCCCGAAGACCGAGAAGTATCCACACGAGAAACTTACTCTCGACGGCTCTAATTATTCCCAATGGGCGACAGGTTTCAAGATGTGGGCTGGCGGTATTGGACTATGGTCCTACGTCAGTGGAGACGAAGTAGAACCGTCCCCACCAGCTCAACTCACAGATTCCGACCAAAACATCATCCGCAAGGAGAAACACGATGAGCAGGTGAAGCTGTACAAACAACGTCGGCTTCTCTCCCTCAGTGCTCTCTCCACTGCCATCGACGCGCAGGACTTCGTCTATCTACGTGACATCGACAATCCACACCTTGCTTGGGTCGCTCTGGAGAAGAAATATCTCCCCCAGAAAGCCATTCGATTCAACCAATACCTCGATCGTCTATTCACGATCCCAAAGGCGCACGACAGCACGTCCATTGCGGAGACATTACAGACGCTCATCGTCCTGAAATCGGACCTCGCAGCGCTCTCAGTCGCACCATCCACATCCTCAGCTTCTCCACCTTCTACTACATCTAGCGCCACTACTACGAAGGAAGAGTACAGAATTCCGGACGCCATCTTCGTGCACATCCTACTCCGAGCCCTCCCCGACTATTACGACCCTCTTCGCCAAACGCTCGTTAATAGCGACGCCTCACTGGACTTCAACGACATCGTGAATCGGTTGAAGACCCAGGAGCTGCATCGTGCAGGGAACAATAGTGCACCAGAGCACGTCGCTATGCTCTCTGGACATCGAGGGACCAGCGCCCCTCCTAAGACTAGTGATCGTGTCCCTCCCAAGGGCTTCGACGAGTCGAAAGGAGACGGATGGATCGTAGGTTGGAGGCCTAAGTGTGGCCATTGCCAGAAAGCTGGCCACGTTTGGGCACAGTGTCGTGCACGCCTTGCTAAGGATGAGAAGAAGTCAGCACCACGTTCGTCCCCTACCGCTGTCGCCGCTAACACGGAATCTCCATTGGCAGACCAACCTGACGCGAACGCTGCTACTTCACCCAACGCTATACCACAATCCCCCTACTTTCTCACCTTAAGAGAGCACACTGCCAATATCTCATCCTCCCTCACTATGCCTGTAGGCTCTATTCATGTAGACTCCGCGTCCACGGCCCATATGGAGCCTGATATGTCACGTTTTGCTCACTACACGAAGCTCAACAATCCTATCCGTGTGAGACTCGCCGACAACCATGAAGTCCTAGCCCCTGGCTGGGGAGTTGTACGGCTCGCCTTACAATATGAGCAATCCTCGACGAGTCGGGATTTTCACTTCCTTCACGTTCCTGACCTGCGGTGCACCCTTGTGTCAGTATCATGCCTCGCATCTGAGCGCATCTCGTTCATCTCTTCCTCCAAAGGAGGCATGCTTCGTACTGATGATGGACACGGGCAACCGCTCGCACACGTTCACTCATGCAACGGGCTATACTTACTCGATGCGCAGTACGTCACGAGCGCACCCACTGCATCCGCCATGCTCGTACGGTCGCCCTCCACTGCCTTATCTCTACAAACGTGGCATCGTCGTTTGGGGCACGCTGGATTCTCAACGGTTCTCAAAGCGAGTGAACACGTTGATGGACTAACTCTCCCCCCCTCGACGCTGCATGACTCCAGTGGTGATGCTGACCTGATCCACTGTGTCTCTTGCCTTATGGGTAAGCACAGACGGTCCCCCTTCCCTTCTGTTGCACGACGAGCCTCGGCACCTGCAGAACTTGTGCACTCGGACGTCTGGGGACCCGTCAGCATCGCAGCTTCCACCGGCGACTCGTACTTCGTCGTATTTACTGACGACTACACACGCTACTCACTCGTATACCTTATGCGTGCGAAGTCAGAAGTCTTCGAGCTCTTCAAGAAGTTCGTGCCGTGGATGGAGACTCAGTCCGGTGGACGCATCAAACGCCTTCGTAGCGACAACGGTGGAGAATATGTATCGAGGGATTTCATTCAGTATCTAGCGGAGCGGGGCATTGAGCATGAAGTCACCATGCCCTACACGCCCCAGCAGAATGGCGTAGCTGAACGCGGCCACCAGACCATCGTCACTCGTGCCCTCAGCTGCCACCATCAGAGTGGATTCCCGCGTTCCTTCTGGGGCTGGGCAATCCTGAACTCCGCACACATCAAGAATGTCCTCCCCTCCTCAGCTCTGGATGGTCGCACTCCATTTGAGGCCTTCTATGGCCGCAAACCTGACGTCAGCTACCTTCGCCCTTTTGGGTGCCTTGCCTACTCTCACGTCCCAGACGACACCCGTCGTAAATACGAGTTCGTTTCCCGCCGGTGCTTCCTCCTGGGGCATGTCCGTAACGCTGGTTACATCCTTTGGGACCCATCTGCGAAGCGTGTCGTTCGGTCCCGCCATGTCCAATTTGACGAGGCCGTCTTCTATGGGGACCCCACCTTATCACCTCTGGGTCCGCTTGTCCCTGATGCAGACTCCAGTCCTCCAGTGGGAGGCGTCCCAGGTGTCCATCCTTCAGTGGGAGGTACTCCTTCATCTGGTGAGCCACCATCTGTGACCCCTGCTGCACCTCCTGTGCCACCGGTGTCAGTGGGAGGTGATGTTAACCCACCAGTCGAGTCCCATACATCCCAGGACGCTTCAGTCGAGTCCCACACATCCCAAGACACTCCAGTCGAGTCCCATCATTCCCACAACGCACCAGCTCCTGTTCCAGCTCCACGTCGAAGCACACGTCCACGCCAACCTACTCAGCCTGGCTATACCGCTCCAAGTGGACCTAGTGACACGGCCATACCCACCAAGCGGGTTCCTGTAGCTGAGCGCTGGACACATGTCCCAGTCCTACCAGACCCATCTCCACCTCATGAATCCGCCATGCATACAACAGACGCACCTTCGCCTTCGCCTCCTACACCACCCGTCATCCCAAAGTCGATCAGCGCAGCTCGTTCCCTACCTGAGTGGCCGTTATGGTCAGACGCCTGCAAGTCTGAGCTACAATCCATGCGCGACTTGAAGACTCACCGTCTGATGCCCCTCCCAGCAGGAAGGAAGGCCATTGGATCCAGGTGGGTATTCTCAGTGAAATCAGACGAGGATGGCAACATCACACGGCACAAGGCCCGGTTCGTTGCGCAGGGCTACACTCAGGTTGAGGGGGTCGACTACACAGAGACTTTCGCATCCGTCGCCAAGTACGACACCGTTCGAATCCTCCTCGCACTCGCGGCAAAATTCGACCTCGAACTGGATCAAATGGATGTACGTACGGCTTTCCTCAATGCTGAACTCAAGGAGGATATATACCTCAAACAACCAGCCGGCTTCGAGGATCCAGAGCATCCGGATTGGGTATGGAAGTTGGAGAAGGCGCTATATGGGTTGAAGCAGGCAGGATATGAGTGGAACCAGACCCTCGACGAGTATCTGAGAAAGGAGGGTTTCAAGTTTGTTCGAAGCGAGGCTGATCACAGCTTATACGTCCTTCATGAAGGAGACAAGATCATCTGGCTCGTTGTATACGTCGACGACATGCTCTCCGCATCGAACTCCCGCGACTTCCTGAACAGTTTCAAGGCACGACTCAACCAGCGTTTCGACCTTGCAGACTTAGGCCCCGCTAGACATTTCCTTGGGATGCATATCACCCGCGATCGCGAGAAACGACTTCTATCGGTTAGTCAAAAGACCTACCTGGAGAAGATCCTTGAAAACGCGGGAATGTCCCAATGTAACCCCGTCAGTACTCCCATGTCCCCAGGTATCGTGCTCCAGAAAGCGACGCGAAGTCCCACTGATGACGAAGCAACCGCTATCGCGTCCATCCCGTACCGTCGTACTATCGGGGAGCTTAACTATGCGATGCGTACCACGCGTCCCGACATCGCCTTCGCCGTCTCTTCCCTATCACGCTACATGGAGAATCCCAGCGTTGATCACCATCGCCAGCTCAAGCATTTACTCAGATACATACGTGGCACGACGGATCTGACACTCGTGTTTGGTCTCACTGATGACGGGCTAATTGGTCACTCAGACTCTGACTACGCCGCAGATCGTGATGACAGCAAGTCGACGAGTGCGTATGTATATCAGCTATTTGGTGGTCCAGTCAGTTGGAAGGCACAGAAGCAGTCTGTCGTTGCGACATCGACAACAGAAGCGGAATACATTGGACTCTCAAACGCTTCGCGAGAAGCGCTATACCTTATCCAACTACTCCACGACTTCCGCGTTGATCCCGATCTATACGACCCCCCCCTTCTCTATGGTGACAATCAAGCTAGCCTCGCCCTCTCGAAGAACCCCAAGTTTCACGACAAGGCGAAGCATATTCGCGTACACTATCACCTCGTCCGCAGTCTCGTCGAGTCGAATCAGATCAGACTTGAGTACAAGTCGACTTCGGAAATGCTCGCTGATAGCCTCACTAAAGCGCTACCTCGTCCAGCTGTGAATCGTCACCGAGAAGAGATGGGTCTCCGTCAGACTACCCTGCGTGGTCTGGCGAGTGGGAGTGTCAAGAGTACGCCTAACCACCAGGGCGTCCAGGACGTCACGACGTCCTGACATATATAAATGCAAGACATTAGTAGTACCTTACTCATTTTCTCTTTCCGTTTTTCGCCGTATTCTAACTCTATATAAGACTATGAACACGCGCCAACGCACCTCAGTCCCTTTGATCGTGACTGAGGTGTGTATCATGTTTTCCTCACCCTTGTTTTCATTATACTCACTATATACATTAGACTCGTTCTAGGTTCGTATACTACATTGAATACCAGTCCCTTTGATCGTGACTGAGACTCGTTCTAGCTCTCGTCTTTCCACAATCTTCGTGACAAACCTGCTGAATTCTGGACTCCAGAATTATTCATGGATCAACTCGATAGCCTTCTCACGCAGCTCGGTATCGAAAGAGACTTTGACCTTCTAGGGCACTCATGGGGAGGGATGCTGGCTGCTGACTATGTCATCCAGCGTCAACCTCCCGGACTTCATCGTCTAGTCATATCGAGCTCTCCACCATCATGGAAATTATTGGAGGAGAGTATGCTGGGACGTCTGGAAGCTTTCCCGGCGGAGTTCAAGGAGATGGTGTTGAAACATGAGAGAGAAGGCACATTCTTATCACCAGAATACCAGGCAGCCATCCAAGTTTTTATGAATAAGCACATGTGCCAGACAATACCCTGGCCCGAAGAGCTGATTGCCACGTTCGCTTCCGCCGCAGAAGATCCTACCGTTTCGAATGCCATGTAAGTTCTCCGATGTCTTTCGAAGGACATTGAACTGAATCCTGAAACTCAGGCTGGGATCCGAACAGTTCCTCAGGACGGGTTCATTGACAACTTGGTCTGTGATTGACCGTCTCCATCGCATTACATGCCCTACACTCGTCACGAATGGGACCGAAGAAGCTGCCCAGGACTATGTGATTGCTCCTTTCATCGAGAAAATACCCAACGTTAAGTGGGTCAGGTTTGCAAAGAGTCACATTGCATTCTTCGAGGATAAGGAATATTATTTCAAGACTATCGGCGATTTTTTGAGGGTAGACTGATGGCGTTCATTTTTATGGGTCCTGGCCTTTGATTTCGATGGAGCTTTCTGTTACTTGTCTTCCGCTATCTCGATAACGGTCACATGGGAATAATCTCAAGTTGGTTTACCAGATTGAGGACATGTGCTTCATGCCCTCGACAAGTTCCCATGCCAGAAACTCATGTGGGTGACTTTCATCAGCCCATAAAACCAACTTGAATCCACTTGACTGACCGCCTTATCCTCGCCTTCATACAAATATCCGTATGTCATGACTGAAGTCATAGGAACTGTCGATTTCCAAGTCGGAAAAGAGACTTACCAGACCTGGTACAAGGTCATCGGAGACCTAACATCTGGCATTCGACCTCTCGTCACTCTTCACGGCGGCCCAGGCATGTCGCACGTGTACATGCAGTCGCATGCAGAGATCTTCACGACATATAATATTCCTGTGGTTTTCTACGACCAGTTAGGCACCGGGAGGTCTACACACATCACCGACAAGGGCGCCGACTTCTGGACGCCAGAGCTGTTCATAAACGAGCTTGATAACCTCCTCGCATACCTCAAAATCAAAGACGATTTTGATCTTTTGGGCCATTCTTGGGGAGGCATGTTAGCAGCCGATTACGCATCAGCGCGGCAACACCCTGGTCTTCACCGCCTCATCATCGCTAATGCTGCACCATCACTGAAGCTCTGGGAACAGAGCATGCACCATTGGTTGAACAAATTCCCGGAGGAATTCAGAGAGATGTTGAGAAGGCACGAGAGGGACGGGACGACCTCGTCAGAAGAGTATCAACGAGGAATGAAGGAGTTCTATAACAGGTACACCTGTCAAGTGATCCCTTGGCCTGCGGAGCTTGATCAATCTTTCGCGGATATGGATGAGAATCCCACTGTGTATACCACGATGTACGTCAACGTGCAGCTAACGGCTTATCAGTGTGTACTCACCCTAATCACGATTAGGTTCGGAACTTCAGAGTTCAACCTCACGGGGTCGTTGATCACCTGGGATGTTACCGATCGTCTTGACAGAATTTCTTGTCCGACACTCGTTTGCAACGGTCATGAGGAGGGGGCACAGGATTTTGTGGTCAAGCCTTTCATTGAGAAGATACCGAAGGTCAAGTGGGTCAAGTTTCAGAAAAGCCACATTCCGTTCTACGAAGATAGGGAGTACTATTTCAAGACCATCGGCAACTTCTTGACGGCAATCTGAATTGAGCATAGTTCCTGGCGAACATGTTATGTATATCATTCAGATCTTACGCTTTAGGTACTTCTAATATGGCAAGCCCGTCGCCGCACGTTTCAGATACGTTTCAGATTAGAGAAAGCTTCTGGTCTTGACACATACCGCCCATACCGCACAGCACATTCTGGAAGGGGCTCGTCTGGAGGAATGAGTAGCCGACGCATCCTGGTCGCGAAGTTGATTGATTTGAACAATCGTATTCGCCAATAATAGTGGTAAACTGCGAAGAAACATTCCTTTGTTGCAGCATCTACCTGTCTACATGTACAAATTGTCAACCACGTATGGGTATGAGGGCCATAAAAGCGAAAGAGTACATCGATCAGTATAACAAATTACAATATACGGTTTCTGAACACTTCTCCGTGCTTCTCGTTATTGAGCTTAGGTACTCTCCGCAACCTTCTTCTTGATAACATCGACGACACCAGGCTCAGCAACAGTGCTGAGATCACCGAGTTGATCACCCTCGCCAGCGACGATCTTGCGCATGATGCGACGCATGATCTACATTAACACAAGTCATTAAAGGATCCCTACTGAAGAGACGTGTATGGACTTGCCTTTCCGGAACGAGTCTTGGGCAGATCACTGACGATGAAGATCTTTTTAGGTGCCGCGAAGGGGCCAATCACCTTCCTGACTTGGAGTACGAGCTCCTTAGCCAGGGAGGCCTCGTCATTGTGGTCGTATGTGAATTCCCTGATAGTAACAAGTCAATCACCTTTCAAAAAAACAAAGGACAAAAAACTGACGGTTTAAGTGTGACGAAGGCGAAGACGGCCTGTCCCGTCAACTCGTCAGCAGTACCAATGACTGCAGTCTCAGCAACACCTCTGTGCATGATCAAGGCAGACTCGATCTCAGCAGTTGACAGACGGTGTCCAGAAACATTGATAACGTCTACAGAATGGTTATTACAGGCGGCACATCTTCCACGGAACGTCCTCACCATCGATACGACCCTTGATCCAGATGTAACCATGTTCATCGCGTGCGGCGCCATCTCCTGTGTAGAAAACTCCACCATATGGCTTCATGTATGTCTCCAGGTAACGGTTGTGGTCGTTGTACACAGAGCGGGCAATTGAAGGCCAAGGTTGCTTGATGACGAGAACACCCTCCACATTGTTTCCTTCTAATTCCTGTTGGATTTCATCAGTGTGATAGATAAACAAAATGCGTTTATTTAAGTACCTTTCCGCTAACAGGGTCCAGGATAGCAGGCTCAATACCAAAGAAGGGAACTGTTGCAGAACCAGGCTTGGTCTCAATCGCACCAGGGAATGGGGTAACGACGATAGATCCAGTCTCAGTTTGCCTTGAAGAGGATCATACTAAGCACGGCTCTCGAACGCTTCATGAATTCACTTACCAGAACGTATCAACGATAGCGCACTGCTTCTTGCCAACATGTTCGTTGTACCAGTTCCAGGCTTCGGGGTTAATAGGCTCGCCGACAGAGCCGAGGACACGCAGACTGCTGAGATCATGGTTCTCCACGTGCTGAGCGCCGAGTCTGCGAAGAAGACGAATGGCAGTAGGAGCAGAATAGAACTGGGTAAGCTGGTGTTTCTGGACGGTCTGCCAGTAGCGGGATGGTGTGGGGTATACTGGAGTTGATTCAAAGACGGTAGTGCTGACTCCATTCGCGAGGGGTCCGTAAACAATGTAGGTATGGCCAGTAATCCAACCGATATCAGCCATGCAGGCGAACTTGTCGTCTGGGTGGACATCGAAAACGTATTTTACAGTAAGGGCGGCGCAAAGGAGGTATCCGCCAGTGGTATGAACGACACCCTTGGGTTTTCCTGTAGATCCGGAAGTCTAAATATAGGTTTAAAATCAGGACTAGGCAAAAATATATGAAAAAGAAGCCACTGACGTAGAGAATGAAGAGCGGGTCTTCTGAGGACATGATCTCGGGCGGGCAGTAATTAGGAACTTTGGCGGTCTCCTCGTGCCACCACTTGTCCCTACCATCGACCCATGCTACCTGACCGCCTGTGCGCCTGAGAACAAGGACGTGTTCAACGAGAGGGCACTCCTTGAGAGCAGCGTCGACGATTGCTTTGGTTGCAATTGACTTGCCACCACGCCTGCCCTCGTCACTGGTAAGAACAACGCGCGACTTGCAATCTTGAACACGATCACGAAGAGACTCTGCGCTAAAGCCAGCGAAGACTACAGAGTGAACGGCGCCAATCCGCGCACAGGCGAGGAAAGCAGCGACGGATTGCCAGGTCATGGGCAAGTATACAGAAACGGTATCGCCTTTCTTAACACCGAGGGCTATAAGGACATTTGCGATAGAGCAGACCTCACGGAGTAGCTCCGCATATGTGACGAGGCGGCCATCCTCGGGCTCATCTGCCTCGTAGATAATGGCAGTCTGATAGAATGCGGAAAGTCAATTGAGATGTACGATAAAGTGGAAGATCGGTATTTACTTTGTTTGGGTGTTTGAACGCCCAGCGATCGACACAATTATAAGATGCATTGAGACCGCCCTCTGGGAACCAGACGATATCACCGGTCTCGAAACCACCGGCACGCACGGTCTTGAATGGACGATCCCAGTGCAGCGTATCATGGGCCATCTAATGAGTCCATCAATAACTGCGACATAAAAAGAAGTAATCTCGCGAGCTAGCCTTTCTCCACCAAGCGTCAGACTCATGGCCGAGAGTTTCCGCATGTGCAGACTTGTATGCTGCATGATCGGGACCGATGTGAGGAACTTTGGTGCCAGCCTTGAGACGGGGAGCGACGGGATGGATTGGAACAGGTTCTTCAGACATGATGATGGGCGGGGAGTGATGGCGGTAGATAAATCAAAAAGAGCTCACGCCCCTGGCTTATAACAGGCGGACATCCGACAACCCCACAAATCTTTATTTCGGTTCTTGCACAGCCACAATCTGGTTTCGGGTGCTGAAAGAAATACTAGTCAAAATTAAGCCTTGACTATCTGCCAAGATCAAGCAGAGGTCAAGGGCTTTACGACTTGGAAGGTCATCAATCAAGAGGAATACCCTCTTCGAGCCACTTCTCCGTCCTTTCTCCCTGTTATGATCATCCTCATGACCCGTATTAACTCCTCCGCACTGCGTCCGCAGGAAGAAGGTATGATTTCGTGGAAATGAAGTTTAGCCAGGCTTTAAACATGTCACCATATGTGAAATTGCACAGAAACTCGCTGGCAGTGAGCAGAATATGCTGATGTTGCTGCTGCGGCTCGGCACCTCGCGGAAGGCCGTTTGCCATGATATTACTACTCGTTGCGACGCACGAGCGACATATCGAAAGCATTTGGAATCTCGACAGCTCAAGAATTGGACGATTAGCCTAATAAGTTACACAACCCCGATGGTGCCGCATGCGAACAATGAAAGCTTGGCATTTGCACATGAACGTGCCTGAGAAAGTCGTCCCCGGTCCAATTGCGAGGTATCATCCACCATGGCACAAACGCGTCCAATGTCCAGGCCTACATTCATCAAACGCATATACTGTCCCGAGCACAGATACACACAAGGACCTGAGGAAATAACTGAAGGGCTTCGCACCGGACATTTTCGGACATTACCTGCGACAGATGGCACCGAATTCTACAGATCAGTGGCTGATATACCACGCGTTCGATCTCTATTGGTCGTGCTTATCTTACAGTATGTACTGTCATTTATCGCCACTGTGACTGTGACTCAAAGTTGACGTCGCAGTGTAGCGCCCGACACCCTACTGTCTCAGATTACTAATTCCATCATTTATAACTGGCTTGTCGTAGATGGGCCTTTCATGACACTCAGTTCCAAACTTAACCGCGTCTGTTGTTGTCGAAAGCGTTTACAGTATGTCGTTGGCTTTGAACCTGGGTCCTGGACACCATCACAGTTTCGTGCGTGCTCTTTGCAATATCGTGCACTGTGGATGTCGACCCCGAGTGACCTGCTCTAGCCCGCCCTGGGGTTTACTCTGGGTTTATCACACAATCCCCACATTTTCTACATTATCGCTTTCCTTCAGCCGATTTGGGGTGATGGCTTGCTTGCAGTGGGTTGGATATAAGCGCATGCAGCGCTTAACAAATCTTTGACGAAAAGTACATAGCGCAAGGTTCACAAGCTTGTCAACCTTTGTCAATCGGCAGCCCCTAATTTGACCTACATAACCTACCAGTCTCCCGAGAGGAGGTCTGAGGGCAGCTCACGTTGTCGGACAACGGGAGTTTCCCCAGCCGCTCATATGTTCTACCCCATATTCATTATTATCGAGCCCCAGGACCCCGGACTAATGTTCTGCAAATGCCACCTGTGACCTAGACGGCACCTATATTGTCAACCGACGTTCCTGCGACGTACACATAACGCAATTTACAACGCTTGCCGGAATTTGAGGATCAGTTGTACACTGCTAAAACGCACCTCCTAGTCAGTGTCGATGATCCCGGTCTACATATCTGCATCCACAAATTCACACATTCTATGCTTCGGTTGACTATGGAAACGAATCGGCACCGGACTCGACAAAATTTGAGCCTATGTACCTCGGTCAATGATCGAGAGTGTAATGGTGATCATGTGACTCATGTCATCTATTCATGTACGATTTATCGTACACGTCGTCGGCCTGGGAGGTTTCTGGTCAAAGGAATCATCAATCCCACGAATTGACTCACACATGTACAGCCAGATGATTGATACATATCCCTACCCTCGTCTTCTCCTACCGCTCATTCCACCCACCACTAAGCCCAGCCTCCATCCTCATAGTTTTGCTTCGTGGTTGCATCATGTCCGGCAGCGCAGAAATACAATCTATAAGACTTGAAGGTAGGTCACACTTTATCACCTTCGTATCTCTTTTGTGAACCTCCCCCTCTATCTACAGTCATTGGCGGAAAAAATCTCAAAATCCCCTCCTGGCGCATGCCTGCAGGCATTTACGTGTCCATTAATGTCGACTCAAGGAGACGCTGGAAATCAGCCATCCGTGTCTTATCATCCAACGAATCCGTAGTGTGGGGAGATACCATGACCCTGTAAAGTCCATAGAAACTTTCGGACGCGATTCAAGACTTATTTTCTGTTTATAGATCCTCACACGAGTCACCTGCATTATCAATGGAGATCAGAGCATCTTACGAGGTCGACCGAACGCTTGGCAATGGCGAAGTCATCGGAAAACTTCAAACATCGTGGGATGAGTTACTCGATCATGGAGATGAACCATTCGGTGAGTAGTGTTGCCGTGGTTCCGGCTAATGCCGGCAGTAGCTGGTTCTAATTCACCGGCTTGACCGGAACTGCAAAGACAGATCTGCTTACATAATTATGGCACAGTCCGGTTAATGCAACTGAAATAAGCGCTGTAAGCCGGCTCAAGCCAGCTTTTCCTGTCTTACAAAAAGAAATCAAAATTAGTGCCCTGTGAAACGAAAAGGGCCGCGTCGATGTCATTCAGTTGCTCGTCATTGTCGGGGCGGAATTCATCATCGTGGTTGCCCTCAGCTGGCATTCTAAGTTCTTCATCAGAGTTCACCGGATCTTCAAGGTTCAGTCGTCCAAGGCGTTCAAAGATTTCGGTATCAGGCTACATAGAGCGATTTGAGAGCGAATCATGGTTGAGCTTTTCAGGTTGAGGCTCCGGGCCTTCAAGAGGTTCGCACTTTGATGAAGGCTGTTGACTACAAGATCGCTGTTCTCCCGATACATCCCTTCTTCACGCAAAGAATTGATGATCACCTTCGTGCAAAGATCAAACGCAGGTCCAAGGCGTCCGTAATGTGCCAGTAGTACAGCGCTATGTCTTACATGCACAGCGCCTGCATGAATAGCCCTTAGGAACGTAGAAATTGTTCCCGTTGAACCCAGCGATTTCGATATCCTTGCACCCGCCAACAGCATCACGAAGCTGCACCGCGAGCTCGTCCTCGAGTTCTAGAATCTTTGTGCTGTTGGTGTTGCTTAGCGAGGGACAAGAGAGGAGGTGCGTGATGCAGGCGACAGCAGAAGTGAGTACAGTTTAGGCAGAGTGGGAGAGGAATTGCTTTGTGATGTCGTCCCAGAGATTGGCGTAGGCCTGTGGATCACACATAAGTATCAACGAGTAGGCAGAGGAGTAAAAAGTGAAATAAAGAGCGAGAGAATATGTTTGACAGATAAACAATCACCGAACATAAAGAAGTCAAAAACATCGAACACTAAACTCACAGTCATCATCCGCATCTCCAAATACAGTTCTACGTTCATTAAGGGTGGGATTAGTAGCACGTTCGCAATCCGGTTGGCGTCCGTCTGGTACTTGATGAACAACCTCGGGAGTCCCTTGATCAGTGCACGAGTGAGATCCGAGAGCAGTGTCTCGTCCTCGCCCTACCATCATCAAATCTTAGCCTTCCAATCAGACTGAATGACAAGAGGCACTCACCTTTTTCGCAGTGCCAGCAAGAGTTTTTGCTCTTCGAGGGGACGCGATGAGCACCTCCAGCAGCACACTCTCCTCTGTCTCAGTCAGGCGCCATGCCTCGTCTACAGTGTTTTTCGCAGAAGCAGCGATGGAGTCATCCACAGCATCCAAATCCTCCTCGCCCCCTCCAGCAGAGTGATTGAGCAGTAGCATCTCAAGAAGCCCCTCCCACCCGCTCGCAGAGTCCACGTCATCCCACAGAGCCTCCACAGCGAGCGCTGTACGCCCCTTGATGTCTGTGCTCATAGCCACTCCTCTCCGTGTATCATCCTGGCTCCTGTCCTCTTCCTCCACGCGCTCGCGATCCCACCGCACAAGTAACAACGCCAGAGCCTTGGTACCCGCTCGTTCCTTTCCTTTCTCGCCCACCTTCCGCCCCGCCAACCATTCCTCCACAAGTTCATTCCAGAGGCCCCCAACAAATCCTGCCACTGCTTTCCTCACGCGCACCTCGCCATCAAACACGAGCTGGCACATCTGTTCCCGCTCCTCGTCTTACAGCAAGCCATGCTGGTCGACTGCACCTAGGATACCAAGTACAGCGGTGCGCACGGCGAGCTCTGTATCACGCGCTGCCATTTCGACAAGGCGGGGCTTGAAGCGTGTGGTGAAGTTCATGAGGCCACCGATATACTCGGCCTGTGCGTAGATGGCTGATAGAGCGCGTACGGCTTCGAGGCGGACGGGTGTCGCGCTGTCGGAAAGCACCCACCCGACATAGCATAGGTAGGACACGTTGAGGAAATGGGCGGGGTAGTGTGTAAACCAGTGACCCATTGCACGCATGCACTCAGCGCGGGTGTCGAGGTCGGTGTGAGTGTCAAAATTCAAACCTTTAACAGATGCAAAAAGTCCAACAGGGCGCACGTGACGTTTATTGGAAGCGGGAAGCCCGAGAACAAAACAACAACATTTGACTCTACATATCTGAGCGAAGGATGTAAGGCGCCAGTAGGTAAACAATGAGCAAGAAAAGTAGTTAGAGCGATGCATAGATGATGGCAGCATCCTCAACATCATCGCACTCTTGGTCTGCGATAATTTTGAGGAGTGCTTCGTGCGTGGAACTGCCGGATGAAGCTTTGCTAATGTTAGATGCGAAAACCTCACCAGGCTCTACATCACGTAGCACCTCGTATTCCATGTCTCGCTGTGATGCTGCCCACCCTTTGGTGAAGTTGAGCCTATCTTTTTTCAGTATGAACTTCATGATCTGTAGCGCCTCCATCAGCACGGGGCTAAGGCGGTTCCGTTTTTGCGTGTCAGTCTCACTACTCGATGAGAACACACGCTCGCAGGGGACAGCGGATGCCTGTATCGGGAGATAGTCCAAGGCAATTGCATAGATTGTCGGAAACATGCCCTGAGAGGCCTGGTCAACATTCCATGGTCAATACGATGTAGCTCGAGGAGATACGAGGCTCTTACCGTCCAAAACGAGAGAATATTTGTGCCTTTGGGGCTGCGAGTAGCTGTGCTGTATGCGTTGAACTCCTGTTGGACCGTTTGGGCACCTCCGTTGTGATCTGATGGCATGTCTATGTCAGGAAGGCCGTAGAGGCGTGAACCTAGCGTGCTTGGCTTTTGTACTGCCTGTACAGTGGGTGCAGGACCAGAGGCCAGGGTCCCTCTCTTGGCATGCATCTAGACAATACATTCAATATTGCACCATTATTGGCAAAAGACGTACGTACGAGTTTAATGATAAATTTCTTGGCATCATTAGTTCGCGGTTGACCCCAATGGTGTTCCATCCACGTCATCCGTGAAGCAGGATCGATGACTAAAAATAACAATGAGAATCAGACTTCCATTAAAAAATGCAGAACTGACACATAGAGACCGCATAAGCATTGGTGGCGCCCATCCTATCATCATATTTATCCGCCCATAACAACCCTATGCTAATCAGAGGCGCAAAGTGCGGGAAGTGGTCCGCTATGTGATTCCATCCCTCGATCAATCTTTCAAAGGTTGGAACTGCGCCACTCAGTGTCGGAGTGCTTTCGCTTGACATTGCTTGTTGAGCGGCGTGCGGTACCTAATATCAGACAGTGAGACAGATCGTAGATTTAAAATACATTAGCACTGACCTCCAAAATTACTTCGAGATCCTGCAGAAAGTGCCATTCCATCGGAGTCAATCTCTTGTCGGCAATCAGATGTTGATTTGGGTTCTGAAAGAACATATCCACAGCCTAGGCTACCGTTAGCCCACAACAGACACTAGTGGGGTGGAGGCTTACCTGGCGAAGGGTTCGTAGGCGGTTCAACATGACGTACACCGAGTCCCAACGTGTCGGCTCATCATGGAGGAGTTGCACGACAGGCAGTCGGGTGGGAGAACCTGTGTGATCGAGGAACCATTTATTTTCGTTACCCGTGGTAATGGTGAGCGTGAAACTGTCGCGGCGCTGGATCGATGCACGGACTGTGCGTACAAGCACTCTAGCTCGATCAAGGGCTTTGCCTGCTAGGGCTTGGACATACGCCGCCTTGTTGATGGTCTCGCCACCGACTACCCATGTCTGCGACACATCTGAAAAGTCGGCAATTGAGTACTCGTCGACAATGTGTTTGACACATATGTTGATAATGTGGGGGAAGCATGGGATCCGGTGCTCGATAGGATCAAATTCTATCCCGCGTTCCTCCAGTAGACGTGAGTACTCTTGCATGGAAGTGTGATTGTTACCAGCGTTGTCTAGGGTAAAATGTCCGGTCTAAATGGATTCAGATCATGTCACCGGTAAAACTAAACACGGACCTTCTCTGTTACCTCGGCACGATCGAGGAGGCCCAATATCGATTGGCCTAGACAATCTCCTGCATGACTCCCTGGTGTGTGGTTGAAAGCGATCAGCCCTGCCCTCAAGACGAGCACGGAAGTTTTTGCATCTTTAGCAATCCAATGAGCTGTTATCGCCATGAAAGGGCGGAGGATGGAGTCTGACCACAGGTCAGATGTAAATGAAATCTTTCCCTGCGCCATCTGAAAGATATAAGATACTTTTCATGACTTAAGACAACTGTACTTACCGCAAGGTCCTTTTTCAAGGCCTCGAAGTACTCATCGAAGGCCTCAAGGATCAACTCGCGAAATTTCGTGCGATGGTAGATATCGCTCTCGTTCAATTCTGGCCGTAGGAGGCGAATCAACCGGCGAAACTCTGGACATTCAATGATGTTGACTGCCTGAAGGTGTTATCAACAATAGCGCATAGGAAGTGAACAGTGACTCACCTGATCGTCCGCTACAACAAACCTCACCAGTTGTCGATGCATCTCGTCAAGGGTGAAGTTAGGAATTTCATCCTCCAGAGTTCCTTGCGGTCCAGTTCTGAGCAGCGCATCATTATGAATAGGGACATCTCCGAGCGAATCAATTGTGCGAGTTGGATCTCTAAGCCGTTCGCGTATTGCTGTGACTGTCCATCCTTCGTCAAGAAGAGTGTTTAAAGGCTTGATCTGTATGGGCCAGCCCTGGCGCCCTGCCTCCTCCAAGTAAATGAGGGTATGATGATGGTATACATGGTGACGAGGGCCTGTATTGCTGGTGGTGGTTTTGTACGTTGTAACTTTGTACATTGGGTCAAGTTCATGCAAACGCCTAGCGAATGATGTAAGAATAAACACGAGAATCACAGAGATGATGCTCACTCGCAAGGTATGCAGGTATTGCGCCCAGTAACTTCATTCAGCCTGAAAAAGAAATGGAAATCATCAGCGCCTTTGGCCTTTTTCGTTAGACTACCGGTGTCCAAGAGAGTAGTTTGGGTGGGATGGTCATTACGCGCGGCTGTCTGAAGTGGACTAGGGGCTGCAGGAGCCCTAATGGTAGGTGCAGGCGGGCCATACTCTTCATCGTCATCGTCACCAGAGACATTGTCAAGGTCAAAACATTCCCCTTCATCCACCGTAGGTTGAGAATGGCTGAAGTCTCGATATCTACGAGGGAGCTGGCGTTTTCGATTAGGGTTTGTAAGTGCATTTGCTGTGACAACAGTGCGGATGGCGACAGTAGCCGGGATGGGGACAATGGTAGCAGGGGTGGGAATAACACCAGCGGGGATGGGAACAACACCCACAGGGACGGGAATAACACCAGCGGGGACGGGAATAGCATCAACAGGGACAGGAATAACAGCAGTGGGGATGTGAATAACACTGGCGGGGATGGGAACAGTGGGAGCAGGTATGGTGGCCGTCTTGGGTGCACGTCGACGAGGTGCCATGTTGGTAAGAGCAGCAATGCAGATATAACAACATAATTGCCTGTTTATATAAACCTGCGTCAGGGGAGACCCTGCAAAATGCCAATAGATTAAAGCTAACCTTGAAAAAATGTGTTCATCCATGCAGTTGATGGGCTAATCGGCGAACGATCCGATAAGGTTCACCTAGGGAAAGAGCAGCAACACGTTTCGTGGAATATCCCCCCACGCAGGAGTTGTCCAACAAAAGAGCAGTGACACGTTTAGTGGAGACTCTGGAGAGTCCCCGATAGCTTTAGATGTGATGGCAAGTTCTGATCCGGGCGATCTCGTATCTGAAGACTGGAGACCTTTCAATAAGTTTCGATAAACATTTGATGACTAATTAACATTCATATTACCTTGTTCGCCATGGCCCATGGGACTGAATTTCTGGTGCGAGGATTGAAAGGATCTGCGGCAGCGCAATATGTTGAAGGGAGTGTTGAGATAAGACATAAAAGGGCACACCGTGGAAGTCGAGACTTGAGGGTGCGCACTGCGCAGTCTGATTCAACAATGACAAATTTTGTATAATAGCTACTATTCATACAGCTAGTTCTAGACCAATAATATATCACACACACGTATGTACAGGTAGCGAACATTAAATAGAGTCATGATTCATCTAACAACACGTTCCTTGGTGCGGCGTGGAGTGGAAGCGGTTGCAGGTAGTGGCCCAGGGCTATTACGTGGGCGGAGGCTTCAGGAAAAACAGGATCGTCAGTTTACAAATTGGAAGATGAAAAAAAATTACTCACACACGAGTTGATGTGCGAGGAGGGTTTGCCTTCATTGGATGTGGTTGCACCGCCTCGGCCACCACCTGTTCGTTGGAGAGTGCAGGGGTATGAATGATAGGATTGGGCTGGCCGAAATCCAAAAGGCATGTAGCTGGCATTGGCGATGGGTCAGAAATACCATGAAGTAATGAATGAAGATAGTCATAGTCGGGATCCTCCGAGAATGCAAGTGAGCGTGTGTAAATCAAAAGACTTGCGAACTCGACGGGAATTCCGTGACATAAAACTTCAACAGTAGTATTCACTTTGCGCTCAATCATGGAAGAGTTGGAGAGCTTCTCGTGATCGCTGGTTAACCATGGGAGGGAGCCACGCAAGAAATATATCAGCGTATATGTGAGGGACTCAAGATCGTCTCGACGACCCGGCTCGACTCCTAAGTGACTGTTGATTGAGGCGAATGCAGGTGTACCGGTGAGACAACGACCTTGGCGAAATGGTATATGGGCTCTGGTCGAAGTATTGCAGTACTCCTTCGCAATACCAAAGTCGATGATGAAGGCGGTGTGCTTCAAATCGTTAAGACCCACTAAGATATTCTGGGGTTTGATGTCCCCATGAACGAAATTGTGTGAGTGGATATATTCGAGACGTGAGAGCTGGAAAAATGGAGTTAGCTCGCTGCAATGACCTTTCACAAAGCGGCTGACCAACTGGTTTCCTAGATTCACAACGTTATGAAGGCTGAATCTTCGATCATGCGCAATGAAGATATCAT